TTTAAAATTATAAGAATAAAATTAACAAAATTAAAATTTTGGAGACAAAATATATTCATATAATATGTAGATGGTGTTTATAATTTATTTTTGGTAAATAAAAGAAAAAGATAGAATGAAAGAATGTAAAAAAATATGGAGATGATTGTTGGTGGTAAGGGCCGGTTAACGTGATGTTTAATGATTCTATATATGATGATTTGACAAGACGAGTGAGAGTGCATGTGATAGAGAGAGACATGACATGTGAGAGGCCTCCTGACCTTTCAATCCATTGCAGCAGAGGGCAGACGAAACAGAGGCAGGCACCTGCCCAATCCACACACAGCCACACACACTCTCATTCATTTGAGTTTTTTGGAGACACTTTTTAGTCCCTAAACCAGAAAACGGCTAAGACCCGTACCATCATTCATAAACGGTGTCTATGGCCTTACCTCCCCCCCACCACTACTCTACACGTGTCACAAACCCACCATATCCCCCCCTTTCCCTCTCTCTCTCTCTCTCTCTCTCTCTCTCTCTCTCTCTCTTATGTGAGCGTAGGAAACAGGTAATTAATTACTGTGCAAGTCATGTAGCTAGGTAGCAGCTAGCAGAGAGGGTTCTGCTTTTGGTTTTTTGAAATAATAGCTGGATGGCATGGCAGGCAGTTGTGTGTATTTTTTGTATTTGTTGGAAGGGCACTGACTCCCACGTGCCAACTATCACCCATGACCAATGAATCAGACACTGACACTCGCTCAAACTCTCTCTCTCTCTCCTCCAAAACCCTAGTGATTCTCACATTAAAACAGTAGAGAGAGAGAGAGAGAGAGAGAGAAAGAGAGCCTACCCACTCATCCCATCACTTGTCTCTTCATCTTGCCCTCTTTGCATATTCCTTTTGCCTTTTTACCCTCCATCTTCTGGTTTCCTGGGATTGAAATGATCCATCTCTTCACTTCACCTCTGCTCTCTCTTTCTCCTTCCCCATCTCTCTCTCTCTCTCTCTCTCTCTCTCGGTAGCGTCTGTCTGTCTCATCTTTGTCTTGTAAAAGAGAAAGAAAAAAAAAGTGTACAGTCTTAACTGCAGTTAGGAGCCTCTGTGACCCTTGGACATTTGGTTATTGCTGCCAGCTGACAATTAAACACAAAGCCCTATTCATTTTTCTGTTTCTGTTTCTGTTTCTGCTTCTTTTATTTCTCTTCCATTGCACATCAACACAAACTTTTGTCTTGGTTTCTATGTTCCCAAGTAATAATATAATTCCCAATTATTTAATTAATGACAATTAACTAGTTCATTAGCAAATAACTTGACATCAATTATGTTTTCCCATCTGGTTTCTATACCCTAAAACTTTTTAGCTTCAAGCTTTGGAACAGTTCTGTAAACACCTTTTTTTCTTTTCTTTTCTTTTTTGTGTGTGAATTTATGAGTTCAGACTTTCCCTAGTCACATCAATGTAAACTGTATTGGGCAACAGTCAGTCACTTTGTATTGGATCGATCATCAATTAATTTTCCAGATACGACACAGTTTGGAAACGTACGCCCCTAACACTGCTCCCTGGTTGGTTTGTCAGCAGAATTGTCTCTATGAATATGGTACAATATTGTAAGTTTTGTTTAATTGCCCCATATGCAAAATACTATTAGTACAAAAGAAAGAAAATAACTGAATTAGTTTAGGTACGTTTTGATCAGTGCTCTGCAAATTGAGTTGGGATAATATTTGGGTCTTAACACTTACCTCTAGTATGCTTATGTTTATTTTCTCTAGGAATTTTATTACTGAGTAGTCTCTGTACTATTTTGAATACATTATTTTCATTTTTATTATTTCAACTCTATCAATTTCATTTCCATCTTCTTATGCCGCGCACAATGTCATTCTCAACGCCAATTCTGTCTAATTCCCGTCAAAAGTGATTCACATGTGAGGCACCTAACCAATATCAATGCCCGTGGGTTGGTGGTGCTAGGATGAATTTCTCCTCAAAAATTTGATCACATCATGTAAATGGAATTGACATCAAGGATGACATTCATATGCGGCATAAGAAGATTATTATCAAGCTAACAATTGTAATGACCTAGAATAAATCAACAATGTATACCAAGATAAGTGAAAAACTAGGGTTGTGTTCAAATCCCCTAAACTACTCGAACTAGAGAATAAATCAACATTGTATACCAAGCTAACAATTGTAATAACCTTATACTATCAAACTTTGTAGTTGTCTTCCCTCTTGAAAATAATCATTATAGAAAAAAGGCAAATTAATTAAGAATTGTATATGCCCATTATGATAATTAAATAGTTGAATTCACCGTTTTTAGAAAGGATGAACCTCGAATTACACAATCCACTTTGTTTTGTATACAATATCAATATGCAAAGTTAAATGGGAAGTGAGCATTTTACAAAGATGATTAGAAAATGGCCTCCTGGATCAAACTTTTGGCAGTACGGATGGTTGGGTTGGATTAGGATTCTATATATCTTTGCTTTTAAAAACCAGAAAGTGCATTTTATGCCCAAAATTAGAAGCTATTGGGTTTTATTGTGACAGAAAGAGCGGACAGAGATTAGCAAAACTAGCAAGTGGGAAGATGAGAATCCCATTAAACAATTTGCGACAAGCTTTTTTAAACATCATATATTATTCTTTTACTTACTAGTTAAAGGTGTGAATAAACGATACGAAATCTTCAAGGATCACACCAACAACTAGTTTTTTAATGTTGCAAAAAGGAGAAGGCTCACTTTTGCCAGCTGCTAGTGACTTTACAATCAAATTTTCTAATTATAATCCCCTCCAATGCATGTGAAGGTTCATATTCATTTTTTTAATGACATAAGTGATGATTGAATCATTTAATTAGTGTATAATTAAGATTGATTTTAGTGTAATCTTAACAAAAAATAACATATAATTAAGTACAAGCATTTGTCTGGTAAAATAAGCACGATACGAGAATTCATAACCAGACACATCCTGAATTCCATGTACAAGTAATTTTGCTCTCAAATTCTCTCAAAATGATGTACGATGGACTGATGAGTAGGCTGATTATTGCTTGTTGAATATGAACTTAAAAAGAATTAATGCAGGAAGAGATTGAAATTCCTATCATTAATCTTTTAATTGAATGACTTTACCCATATCATTCTCAGCCTTTTGATTATATATCTAAAATGGTCCGGCCAAAATTAATTTTCTATCGCTTTCGTTTTCTTTAATTTACCTTTATGGATTAGACTGCTAATTACCCAGGTAATGATACCATATGTCTAGTGCTCTTTTGGTCCAACGACAATTTGTTTTTTAATTTTATGAAGGTCCAACGACAATTTTGAAACATACAGAAGCAGATATATATTTTGTATATATTAGTTTGCGGCAAAAGCAATATTCATGGCACATTTTTACTATATATAGTGCTTTGTAGCCCAGCATGCATTAAATTATTCCAGGCATCTATATATACTTTTGAGTTACATGTCATTTGCTCCCCTGGGGGCTGCGATGGACCAAAATTCTATTGAACTGTATGTATTAGTTGCGTTTGGTTATGGATTCTGGCCTAACAGTTATTTTAGATATTGAAGAAGGAGTGATTCGAACACAGGACCTCAATTGCAGAGTAACTGCTTTTAACCACTTAAATTATAAACGCTTTACTACGTAACGTAACGTCAATCATATTTATGATACCCTATATTATAGGCTTACACTAACTTCTTACTTCTTTTTTAGGAGGTAACTGATAAAACCTCAACAGCCACTTATTTATCAAATACAAGTCTGTAAGCTAAATTATGAGTGCATGGAACAATACACGTTTCAGATCATTGAATTTTCCTAGTTTATAATACACAGTGGAGAGTGATCAATGTTGATGTACTTGATTACAATAACACCAATCATCCATTTGCCACGACACAATACAGTTGAATTATTTAGTACATCTTTAATACATTTATGATCAAGAAATTATGAAAGCCATAAATTCGAACTGGTTCAGCACACACCTAATCTAAATAATCTTTTGTACTTGTTTGAATAAACATGTGGCCCAAAATTAGGGTATATTTCAATTTGTCCAATATGCCGATACACGCGCAGAATAAAAATTGATCGTATAATAGTCCTCGTGTTGCTACCCTTCTTTCGCCTTCCGTGTAATAAAAATAAAAAATAAAATAGATCCCATAAATAAATCCCAACAGCAGAAGCAAAGCAAGCAGACCTTAAAAGCCAGAAGAAGCGAGAATGAGGCAGGGCTATCAACTGCAACTGAAATAAATAAATAAATAATGGGGTGGATAATCATAATATATAAATATATTTATGTTGGGGGGCAAGGGGGACAAGCGTGGGGTTGTCTTGTCATATCACCTTAGTATTAGTGGCCTACCCCTCCTCTCCTCTTTTGACATTTCTATAAGAAGAGTGATGGGTTCGCTGAGCTCCTTACCTCTTGGTGCTTTTTGAAATTACTAGATTGGCCTCCCTCTTTTTTTTGTTTTTTTTGTTTTTTGACTTTTTAAAGATGAAGCATGTATCTTTGTATGATACAATGGTAACATGTATTAGGAATGTTGTGATGAATATCATGTTTGAGTTAAGCACACGAATTCTCATCTTCCATTCTCTTTTTTGTTTTATTTTAAAATTTTCACGTTATGTGATTTCATATTCGTCTTGGTAAGTCTACTGATATTTCAATCCGAGAATTCCAGTTACACCTCCTGACGTTCGGACACCCTTTATTCAAAACCTCAAGCAGTGTAACTGAAATTCTTCCATGTCACGAGTTCTACTTGTAGCTAGTCCTCATTTGGTTATGGGTGCATTTTAATTGATTTAGTTTTCCAATTTACACATTTCCACAAATATGTTAAAGATGTCATTAATCACTGTGTTAAATATATTTGATTATGCATAGTATGTGGGATTAGACTGGACTAACATGTTGAATGAGATTGAATTGGACGAACAACAAAACAACTAAAAACCTATCGAAGGAATATCTATGTCTAGCCCAAACCCACACACTCCAGCAACCCAGTCCAGTCCACTATCAATCCAGCTCGCACAAGCCACACTGAAAAGTGGAAAAGAAAGAAGAAAAGTAACGTACAAACACTGTATAATAGTAATCCAGCTCCCATACATTGTAGTGGCGTAATCTTTCAGTTTAACCTTATAACGTCATCTAAATCCTTAAATTTGGACCCTAAGAGTAGCCGTAAAGCTGCCTTTTACTAGTCTAGCTCAGGCAGTTAAAGCTTAATTGTTTGAAGAATAAGAATTAAAATCAAATTTCCGATTGATAATTGTTAAAGAATAAAAGTGCAAGTCAGACTGGGAAAAATTGTTCACTGGTTATACTGTGCTGTACACATTACATTAGGACATGACATGGTAAGCTAGCAAGGAATACATTCTACTAAAGACCTGATTTCATTCTACCAGGTCATTAATCATACAAAGATACAGGAGTGCATGTATATCATGGTACAAGCCTGCAACTTATATTCGCAGAGCTCTGTATGCTGGTACAGTTCAGATGATTGCCCAAAACTTCTTCCTACAAATTAACACAGTTTCTGTCTTCTTCTCTTTGTTTTCCAGCAAATGTGATTCAACCTCCCACAAAATTTTTGGAGCAAGATCCTGGATCCTTGATGTAATGGTTTCGTCGTCTCTAATGACAATAAATCCCTGCACATTAACTCACTCAATGTAATTCTGTATCATAAGCCACTAGGAACAGAAAGGAGTTACAAGAGGTATAATTTCGTCGCTTGACAAAGAAGTTTTTCTTAACTATATTAAAATTATATACGATGTTGTCTAATCGCAGAAAAGCTCAAGTTCGCACTCCGTGTGAAGAAAGTACTGACTTCCCAATAAATGTAGGGTCACAACACTAAGTCCTTATCCATTTGCAAAACTGATGGAAGAATAACTAAAGATTTATATGAAGACATCTGAAGTATGTGTTTGCAGATGGCATGGTTTTGTTGGACACATCTAATGAAACACTTGTCACAAAACTGGAAGAAAAAAAAATGAACTCAATGCATTAGAATGAAGGAGCTTATGAAGAACTAGAACTAAGACAGAATATATGGAGTGCAAATTTAAGAGACACTGAACATCATAATAACTATATTACTCAAACAAATCACTTCTGATATTAAGAAGTAGAATAAGGATGCAAATGATAAACAATGGAAGATGAGAATTCATGTCTGACTCCATATTCATGGGGTAAAGGTGAGGATAATGATGATGAAACTTGGAATAGAAACTTAGTATGCAAAAGTAATTATATTGCCTTGCCATCCTTGAAAAAAATTGTTTTTCTTTCTTTGTTCTTAATATTCCATAACTTATGTTTTTAATACTTCAATAGAAACAAGCATAAGAGATGGCATCGATCGAAATTATTACCTGGGGTCTTATTATCCTGTCCATCTCCAAAAGGATATCCTCCAATAAGCAACCTTCTCCGCGGTTCTTGTAATGAGAGAAGAGATGGTTGGCATGTAACAGATCATAGGTGCGTGGATAAGTGGAAAATGGTTCGCACCTATATTCAGGACAGATTAGATGCCATTCTTTTGATTGGAGTACCAATTTGATCACAATTTAGCTACATTTTGTACACTATCTACTAGCAATAGGTAACAGGTAAACAAGAACTTACCAATCATGGAAAGCACCAATCAGACCACGATTATAAATGGCAGACAAGGTATTCTTCATGCTTGAAGGAACTATATTCATCACCCATGTAGGCGAAGCATTTAAGGCCACAGCAAATCCACCACAAAAAGCATTCATGTCCATGACATTTCGGATTTCTGTCTTATTGACATTCAGCAACCTCCAGTAATGTCGAACTTGATCTTGCCAAAAGATGGTCTCTGAAGTAAATTCCTCTTGAGTAACACCTGTTATAAGCATATTTACGAGGGGTGTAATCAGACTGAATAACATTGTTTTCCAATACATTCAGAAAAAACATAAAGAAAGTGAGACACTAGTAGTAGTCCTTCCCATGTATCAGAGAAACCTAAACTTCGGGTCCATTATTGTTATTTAGTGTTGTATCCTATGCATCAACTTCAGCCTTACGTATAACTAAGGAGGTAACAAAAGCATATTTAAACTAAATAAAAAATAAAATAAAAATTTATCCAGGGGATTTTTTATTTTTTTAAAAGAAGAAAATGAAAGTGAAAGACAAAAGCTTATCATATGAAATAGAGAAGGAACAAACCTATTCTGCTAAGACTCTCAGTGTACACCGAAAGGCGCTCAGATCTAGAAGGGAGTTTTGGAGAATCTGTTTGTGCACCCCTTACTTGTATACAATTCTTCAGTGGTGTATTCCATGATGACTTGGAATCATCCACAGCATCACATAAATTTATAAGCTTCTGTTCAGAGTTGTGCTGGAGGCATGACAGATCATCTTGTTTAATCCAGATTGCAGTCTGAACTTTTCGAGCAATGAGTTTCCAGCACATTGCTGAAGTCAGATTCATTAGCTTCTCCCAAATTAATGGATAGTTTTTAGTCTTTTTATAAGCAGGTGGAGCTGAATAGACAAAGTATCCATTAGATCGCAAAAGGCGACTCATTTCTTTTAGTAAAATGCCATCTGCACAAAACAAATTAAAAAAAAAGAACACACAATAAGCAAACTTTATGGACGCATACAAACATATTAATAGAATAACATTGTAAGGTTTCAAACCCAGAAATGGCAAAGCAGCCTCACAAAATCTAGCATATTGCATAGTTAACTCATACCTCTCATAACATTAACAGAAAACCAAAAACAAAACCAAAAAGCCATTATCTAGTTCAATGTTTAACATATCCAATGAAATTTCCTTTTTTGAAGCCATCACATATTGATAAAGAAACTGAGATGTCAACGGATTTTGGTGTTGGTGGGAACTGTTGACAAATTTTCAATTTGTTTTTGGCTGGCATTATTCCTTGTCAATTTAATGACTAAATCAGCATGCTGTTATGACTTTAATAAACAAATTTGTAGTAGAAACCTCTCTATGGGACCTTATGGACATCAACTCAAAACCAATGCATGAAGCTTAGGATAGAAAAAAACCATTTTCATGCCAATCAACTCGACACCGAGAACAATGAACCATCTCAAAAGAGCCAGTGGGATATGGCATTTGTTTTGTTGCTATAGCAGAAATCATTGCACCAATGCCTCGCTCTAGAGCAAATTGAATTTGATTCTCATGGCCGTCCTTTGGAGCAAAGGACATTGTTTGTATACCCAAGGGAAGAAGAAAAGCAGAAAAGCTGGCAACCCCACAACCGACATCCAAAACTTGAGTGACCCCTGCAGAACATAGATCACCTGTTCCATCTGTTATCATATCTCCCAATCTGCAAAATCCAGTAAAGCGAATAAACAAACTGAAAGCGACGTATGCACATAAAAACTTCAAATATCTTGAATCAGGTCTAAACTTCATACCCCCCCTGTTTTTCTTCCCCTGCAAGCCTCAAATTTATCTTGCAAGGCCTTGAAAACAATTAGCCTCTTATCACTCAAATAGCTTCTTTGGCCTATTTTAAAATTTCAAATGCAAAATTTTGTGGCCACAACTAAAAATTGCTCAGATGTCCAGAATTTCATGTTAGGTGAATTGACTTAATTTGTAAATTTTCTTCATTTTCTTTAGGTGCTCATTTGGGTGTTGACCTTTTCTGGGGTATAAAATAGGTTATGTTGGTACATTTAGGAATATGGACTTTCACAGGTTGCTCAAATGAATTTGTATTCGTTAAAAATAATTTCACACCAATGATTACTTGAAGTTAGCTAATAGATAAATCATCAATGCCATAAATACCAATTAGCAGGAGTGTAAGAAATGAAAGACATTGAAACGAGAATAAGAAAAGTAAGCAAGTTGATTGCAAATACCTTCGAATGTACTCAACTGCGCCATGTTTAAAATGCGTACCACCACCAGGGAACCACCAGAGTTGATCCTTTTCATGCACCCAATTTTGTCCTCCTTTGACTTCAGCAAGATGTGTATGATTCACATTGCTTCGCCACACATAGTCCCTGCTGGTAGGCCATCTTATTGGTATCTTATAATCTCTTGGTGGAGGAACCAAGCAGAACAAGCGCTTTTCAATTGGAGGGCAGTGCCTCTCTAGTTCTTCTTTTCTACTAGTGTCCAAGTTTGGAAGCAAAGTTTTTACATAAGAAACATCGTGGCAAGGGATATACTCATTATAAGTCAATGGGCATACATCCATACCAGTCTCTGGGATCAAAAGTGGTGTTTTTCTGTAAGTAAGAGCAACTTTATTTGTAAATGTCGAAGTACCTGCAGCACAATTACTCACAAGAAGTTCAGTTCCACCAGCTCAGACCATACAGAAACAAACAGCTTTAGTAAATAAGATTACAACTAGATGTCACCTTTGAAATTAGATTTCAAATGTTACTACAGCTTCAGAAATACAATGAGATTCCTAATTTGAAAAGACGTATCATTGAGAATGAAGTCAGTCACTACCAAAATTTCCACCACAAATATGCATTTTTATTATAAAAAGAAGGAAAATAAATAAATAATAAGAAAAGTCCCCATCAAAACTTACAATTTCTTACAGCTTTGCTGAACAGTGAACTAGTAAACAAGGGTCATTAACTTTGAGCTCCAAATTAAACATGGTGTAACATTATATACTTCAGTTTATAGGAAATAAGAAACAAAAACTGGATTCTTGAACAAATGTACTAAGAATTCTTCTGAAAATTTGGTTCAAGCTAACTCTTTTTTCCCCAAAATAAAAAATGTTTCTAAAATGCATGCATAACCTTCATTGGTCTGAAAAACAAACTCAGAGAGAGAGAGAGAGAGAGAACAAACCAGGAGATGAAGAAGAACTGATGCTAAGTTGAGATGCATAAATTGGAGCATTATTTCCAAAGAGAGTTCCGGCATAGAAGCACCCGACCATCAATAGCAGAGCCACCACTATCATCTGCCACGATTGGAATTTAAACGCTGAAAACACCACATTCCCACCCCCCATTTCCTGAAATCCTCAATTGGGTTGCTCCTGAATTCCCAAAATCAACGGGATCCAATGGGAATTTCGGGGGTGGGCTTTGAAGTATCAGTATATCAAACTTGGACGGCTGGATTTCAATGCTTTAATCTAACGGTCCAGAATAAGTTGGGAAGAAAAACTAATAAACAAATTCAAACAAAATTTCAATTTTACACATATGACAATATCCAGAATGGGAGGGGATGGGGGCTGAGGGTGGATAGGAGGGGATCTGCGGTCGGGGATGCTGCGGGAGAGCGGGGTCAAAGTTGGATGGGGAGAGAGAGAGAGAGAGAGAGAGAGAGAGTGGAGGGGGAGTGGTGAGTGGAATGCGGTTTTTTATTTATTACAATAAACATATCATGAAACAGATCACGAAAGAATTAATAAAACAAATCATAATTAATTAATCTCATTTTGACTGTTTAAAAAAGTCACTTTCTAATTATGATCCAATTTTACACATGACAATATCCAGAATGGGAGGGGATGGGGGCTGAGGGAGGATGGTTTTTATTCAATTTTTACCTATATCGATAATTTCTCGATATTTTCATTGAAATTTCCATATTTATATACAATCGATATTTCTGAAATCATCAATATTTTAGACCGAGAGTCTCAAGAGACAAAATCTCGTATGTAATTTTTTTAGATTTCTTTCACCGTGGAGAACAAGAAGTCCAAACAGATCACTGCAATCATCACAAGGGATGCACGTGACAACGATGACTATTTTTCTATTTTTTTTTACAGAACTTTTCTTTTTAAACAACAGTGGGTGAGAGGTCATCCGAACTTAAAATATCTTCCAATATTAGAAGAATTTTCTTTTTTACAGAACTTTTCTTTTTAAACAACAGTGGGTGAGAGGTCATCCGAATTTAAAATATCTTCCAATATTAGAAGAATAGATATACACACATGAGTTAGGTTATTTGACTAAGGCAGTGTACCCGAGTTCAAACCCCCTTCCATTACAGTTCAAACTCCTACATAGAGGATGAGTATAATGTCTTAAATAACTGGCTTAACCTATGTCCACAAGAGATAGATTTGTCAACAAAGGTTTGTGTACCACTTTATCCGCTGTCAATTCATTCCAATAAGGGGACCAATTCATATGGATCGACTCCAAACATCACCCTTCTTTCTTGTATATATGCAGATATCCCACGTGCTGCCTTTGTGAACCAAATTTCTGTGAAAATAAAATATTTGAGAGAGATGTATTGATTTCATATGGCACTAGCCACATTCATTTGTACTTCACCACTAGCTAATGTGTTGTCAGATCAGCTACTCATCCATAACAAGACTCATCAGAAGCCTCAACATATAAAAGCCTCTAATTCAGGACTAGTTTAGCTGTAAATTGTTATCCTTGATTAGCTTTAGTTAGAATGGGTTAGTGTATTAAGTATTAAGGAACAAATTTGTGCAAAAGGCTTGTATTGGTAATGAATTATTAGTGAACAAAACCAACCAGTTCTAAATTAGAGAATTAGCTCTCTAAAAGTTGATAAATTCCATCCCAATACTTCATAAATCCCATCAACTTGATGGTGTGGTATATCTCCAGAAACAAACCCAAAGATCCATCTTCCTTGAGCCTTCAATCCCCCTCCACCCTAGCTTTTTTTCTTACCTCTCCCCTTGGCTTTTTTTCTTTCAGCTAAATCCCTGTGCCATCCTACTTAAATATTCCAACACTTCATAAATTGCTTCCATTTGATGGTGTGATCTATCCCCAGAAACAAACCCATAAATCCTTCCTTCTTCGGCCTCAATGCAGCTCCACCCCGGCTTCTTCTTTAGATCCCTCTCCTTCATAACTCTCCTTATCTCTTCTACTTCATCCCACTCTCCAACACTAGCTTGTGCATTACTCAATAGAGTACAATACCCGACATTATCAGGTTCTAGTTCCAACAGCCTCTGAGCTGCAAATTCCCCCACATCTCTACGACCGTAAATTCTAGACCCTGAAAGAAGAGCACCCCAAATCCTACTATCTGGAAAAATAACCATTTTCATAATGACCACTAAGGCCTCTTTGAGCTTCCCAGATCGACCCAAGAGATCAACAATGCTTGTGTAATGGTCTAGGTCAGGTTCGATACCAAACTTCCATTTCATGGAGCAGAAAGCTTCACAACCTTCGGTCACAAGGCCGGAGTGGCTACAAGCAGATAATAAGCTTAATAAGGTGACACTATTTGGTTTTGTTCCTTCTCTTATCATTAGATCAAACAGTTTCAAGGCTTCCAAACCAAGTCCATGGCTCCCATAGCCCTCGATCATAGATGTCCACGCCACTACATCTCTGATCAACATTCTACTAAAACAGACTCTAGCAGTAGATATGCTACCGCATCTTATGTACATGTTTATTAGGGAGGTTTCAAGATGAGTATTGCACTTCTTAGCTTCACAAAAAGATTTCCTTATTATGCAACCATGAATTCCTTTTCCTAACTTGAGAGCCCCTAGGTTTGCAAATGCATCAACTAGGCTTCTTAGTATCTCAGCCCCGGGTTCAACACCTTCAGCTTGCATTCGGCCGAACAACCCAACAGCCTCATTGAAATAACCATTTTGAATAAAACCAAACATCATTGCACCCCAAGTAATGCTGTTTCTATGAGGGATTTCTCTAAACAGTTTATCTGAGTTTCCCAATTTCCCGCACTTGGCATAGAAGTCCAACAAAGATGTTTGCAAGACGTCGTCGCAAAGCCCACTTTTTGTTGCCAAACAATGCAAGCTTTCACCTTGGGAAAGAATCCCATGTTTGGTTAATGCTGATATAACCAACGTCAATGTCTCACTGCTGGGTGCTACTTCACCCTGCATTTCATGAAACAAGTCTCTTACCTTTACAACATCCCCTCTCCAAGAATAAAAGGAAATACGAATATTCCAGGAAACAACATCCCTTCTATCAAGTTGGCCAAAAAAATCTTGGACTTGGTCAACGGTACCTAATTTAGCATACATTCTGAAAATTGAGTTCTGCACAGACCCATCACCTAGTAAACCACTCTTAATCCCATAACCATGAAGTGGTTCCCCATAAACTGAAATTTCAGTGTCACAACAGCCTTGCAACATGACCAGCATTGTCACGGCATTTGGTTCCAACTCCCTCCTCATTTCACTGAACAAACTAAACCCACAGGCAACGTTTCCTTCAGAAACATACCCGGAAATCATCGATGTCCAAGAAACCAAATCTCTCTGACGCATCTCATCAAACAGCTTACGAGCATAATCAAGTCTTCCGCATTTCACATACACATCAATCATTGTATTGCCAACATATACATCCATTCCAAAACCCATCTGAATTGCCACACAATGAACCATTCCTGAATATGTAGCATCACTCCCAAGCAACAAAACCGCCCTATTTACAATCGGAAACGTGAAGCAATCATGTGAAACACCCAATTCAAGCATCTTTTTGTACAGCAACAGAGCCGAACCAAGCAGACCCGAGTCGACATGAGACTTTATGATCAAATTCCACAACATTGTATTTGGTTCTTGTATTGATCTGAAAACCAAAGCAGCGCTCTCGACGCCATTGAACCGAGAATACAAAGTGATCACCTTTGAAAGAAGGGAAGGGGGTTTGAACCCAGTTGAGACTAGGATACGAGCATGGACTTGTCTCAGGGTCTGCAGGTCCTGGCATGAATCCAGCACCGAACCTGAAGAAATTGAAAGAGAAGGTGCGAGGTTGTGGTAGGGATGTTTCAGGTGATGGGTGTGAAATAGAAGAGGAAGTTTTGAGGTTGGAGAGAAGAAGTTGGGACGTTGAAAAACATGGAAATGATATGAAATCTTGAAAGCTGAGGACAAGGACTTGCAATAAAAGTGTGCAATTCTTGGGAGTGTTTAAAGTACAAAGATTTGTGATCTCAGTCTGGTCCAGAACGAGCACCAGTGCAATGAAAATGAAATGTATAAAAATTAAAAATAATAATAAGTTCTGAGTGCTAATTGTCCCACATCGACCAAACACCGAACATGGGAACGGTTTATATAATTGAACATGTGACGACAAAGCACGACCTTACTTGGACAGGATCTGTTCTATAGGATCGTACCTCTGTATCCTTGGTTTCTAAGGAGACAGGAATCCCAACCTGGTGGATGAATCATGACCGTGCGATCAGAGCGTGATTAACAGCTTCTGATTCTTCGGAATCCTGAAGCAGCAGAGGATCGTTCTCAGCTGGGTGACTGGCTGGGGTGGTCACACGGTTGTCTGACAGGTTACCCCTCTTTTTTGTGTTATTTATTTATTTTTTATTTTTAACTTTTTGGTCGATTTTTTTGCTCAATTTTATTATTTGTCTTTGTTTGAATTAGCAACCAAAACTTGGGATAAACACATTTTTATTTGAGATATTTATAACTCATTCTTAGCATTAATATTATAGATTAACCTTACACTATTTAATTTCTATATACACCCAAAAATAACAGCTGACCATATTGACTTTAATTTTGATTATTAAATTACTTTGATACTCAATTGAGTATTTTGGGTATGTTTATAAGATTTTAGAATTTGGCTTGTTTTAAGAAATTGATGATAGTTTTGTAATTTATAAGAAGTTAAAAGCCTCTTTGTTATGTTATAAATGGACCATGAGTATGTTTCTAAAGTCTATTTTATATGGGAATTTTTTATAATTTGAGCCCTTATATTTGGTATAATAGTGAATCACCCTTTTTATTTCCTTGTTCGTTACAACTCATTGATAAATTCCGAGTCCCAATATTGACTGTAAAAACATTTCTCCCAAAATACTTTTACATCTACTCGGAAAATGAGAATCTTATCTCTCGATATTATACCACCAGAGTGAATGAAACTCAAACTATTCCTCAAGATAATAACTTAGCAACACAAGAATTGTTACCTCTTTGCTTCCATAAACAATCTAGACACAAGGGATCCATCAGTCAGTAAAGATACAGACTCGATCCATCAGTCACAAGAATTGTTACCCCCCGGGGAAAATTATTTTTTCGTAATTACCACACTAACTCTACAACCATCCATTTCTTTGTGTGTGATCTATTATCTCCTTCTGAAACCATCTTCAACTGATATGACACCAGAAGTCCAGCTTTCTGCTAATCTGCCCTTCTGAATTTCCATTTTCTGTTATGCATCTACAGAACAAAAATATCACAAAACGGGAGATATCCCTGCATCAAAAGTCTCTAGCCATTTCCCACCTGGTGTTTGCTCCACAAACTTTTGAAATCCCCAACATGAAATTCAAAACTTGATTTTTGAAGGGCCTCTTACCCATCTAAGAAAACTACAAAGAACACCTCCATACAACCCAATGTCAACATATTCGTAAACGAGAACCCTCTAGTCTCTACCAGTTGCAAACCCAGGAAGAAGTAGTTAACAAGTGACAAGTTACAAAAGTAAAAGGTAAGCAAGATTTCAAATATTTTACAAAAGCAAATCATAGATGAATACGTCCCAAAGCAAAAAGGGTAAATCATGACAGGACAAAGGGTGAACTTGAAGATCATACAAGATATACATATCGTTGTAGATCTGTAAAATAAATTGCACTATTCTTTTTTACCAAAAATAGATTTACGCTTTCATTGCTTAGGCTAACGGCATTATTGGTAACATCCAGCAAATTTATAAATCACATAACAAGATGCCAAGGCAAATCTATCCAGCAAATTATACAGAGATCATAGGCCGACAATTTGGCACACATAAAGAGCAACTATAATACTACAATGAAAACAAAATAGCAAGAAACTGCTCCAGATTAATGTCCCCAAGAATACTATTTGTGAACCCAACACAATTATGAAAACAAAATCTGGTTTCCATCATCACAAAACGAGATACTGGAGTATGCAAAATCTAAAATTTCAGTAGTAGGGAGATTTTTGGCAAGCTGTTTCATCAGTTAAATTACCATCCAAACAGCCTGTGAGAAGTTTTCATTTACTAGGACGAATTGTTTAGATAGCTGCAATCGCAACTTTTGAAAAATTTTACACTGGGTCATCACTTCTAAAAATGATGATGTACTAATAACACATTTCCTGTTAAAATTACATGGGCAGCTGAAATTGCATTATACATCAATATAAAATGTAATGTACATCACCCACCTGACTTCAGCATATGCAACAATTCCCAAAATCTGCGTGGATCAGCAGCAGCCTCCAGAAGACAAGAACCTGTGGTAAACAGATACTAAACCAGAGGAATGTAAAACTCAGCCTCCATCCACAAATGAAGTGCAATCAATGTCCTGAAAGGTGATTCTCCCCATGTATAAGTCATGTATGTGATCAGGACAAACAGGGAAGCATTTCAGATTGAGACTTTCATTAATTGCACCCATCCCAGGGACCCATTTCTTTTCATCCACAGGGTTCACATTCAAGCGATTTTGCAATAGTCGTACACGATAAACAACAGTATCAGTTTTGTCACAGAAATGAGCAACACAAGAATATGGAGGCTCATCAGAAGCTAATCTAATCAAAGCCAAAGAGAACGTCCCATCCACTGGTTTTGGATCAGAGAGATTTTTATCTCCCATCATTTTCACCTGCCTTTCTGTGGGGAAGTGCACTTCTTCATTTCCATTTATATCAAAGACTTTCAAATCTTTAGTAAAATGTTTCAGGGCTTCACGTTTGGTGGATTCATGCTTTTCTGCTAGAGTCAAGATACAAGAGAACCTCAAGTGATAAGTCACAACAGTTTTGACCATCTTGAAGTTATGGCAGCAGCAATAAAATTCCAGCCATCTTCTCCCTATACCCGCATACCACTTAATGATATCAGTATCTTCGAGAGCAGTTAGTAAAGTAATTGGCCTGGGACGACCCATATGATTTGTAAAGCCAATCAACCTAACCATTTTTCTAATAAGTTCTATGGGTGCATCAGCTTTGACACAGAGCTTTGTCAAATCCTCAACTGTACCCTTAGCATATTTCTTCTCCTCTTCATCTTTTATTCTCCTTTCTTCGTCCTCCAGTGCCCTTCTAGCTTTGACTGGGTTTAAATGCTTGTCAACTTGCTCTTGGAAATTATCATAAGCATCAACAAGCTCTTGAGGCAGTTGATCTCTAATGTGCCTTAAAGAGAGAAAATTACCTGCCGATAGCTTGCGGTACCAATCCCAACGCTCCTCCAAAGAGCCAAGGTACTCTTGCACCGTCTCATCAGCCCAGGTTCTGAAGATTTCTCTAACTTCATTCTTAATTTGATATTCAAATTTAAACCCATCACTTCTCTTCAACTTCTTATAAACATGGCTCATTATTTTCAATCCCAATTTCTTCCTATTCCTCTCTCTAGCATTTTTCAATTCCTGAGCTCTGACTTCCTTCTGTCTAATGTACTTTTTTCGTGCTCTCATAGCCTTTTCTGACATAGGAGGATTCAAAACTGAAGGTTTTACAGCCTGTAATTCCATGCCCAAAAAAGCAATCTTCTCAGACACCGCACTATGAATAGCTGTTTTTATCCCATCCACCTTCAATTCCAGTATCCCCTCTATGTGCTTAACAACCCAGTTCTTTAAATCCATTGTCAACATCTTAGACCCGGATGTTATCACTAATATTTCATCCAAGTACCTAACTGCATATATCTTCACTGGCTTGTAAAACACACCATCCTTAGAAACAAGCTCATTTGAATCAAATTTGGGATGCTCCAGATTCTTCTTTAGACGCATTTCTTGAATTTCTTTATCAAACCCATTGAAGTAAATATTTATCAAAATTGAACTCAACCCACTTTCCTGAGGAAACCCTCTTCCAAAGAAGCAACCACCCAATTCAATTCTCACCGCACCGCATTCAAACAACCTCTTTATAACATTAATCAAAGTCTCATCCTCTATTTTCTCTTGCATAAACATGCATAGCTTATTTACATGTTGTTGATCAAACTTTTCGCGGTTAAAGCTAACTGTAAACCACCAACTGGGGTTCTCTACAGAGTTTTTAAGGTACCTAATGGCCGTGTGCCTGCCCATATTAACACGACCACCATAAGAAAACGTCACAAAGCGTTCATCATAAACAATTCCCAATACCATCCTAATAGCTTCAATCAAAACCTTCAATTTCAAGTTAGGCAAGACCAAAGACTCACCTCTATTTCTTTGGGCCGCCATTGTAACACTGCAAGCTCCAATATCGAACCGATTCTCGGAGAGCTCGCGACCCATTTCGTGGATTGAGAACCGCTTGGAGACCGAGTCGAGAAGGGACGGGCTGAGGCCATTTCCATTTGGGGCTTGTGGGGTGGTGAGGTTTTGGCAGGCGGCAAGGAGGACAGTGGGCAAAGCGACGACGTTTTGGAGAAGGTTGGTGAATTTGCCATGCTTGTAATGGCTGAGAACTAAGGATTTGAGTTGGGATTCTAAAAGAGGCTCTGTAGAGTTTGCGTTTGGGTTTGGTGCTGAAGTTGAGAAGAGATTCAGAGGAATGCAGAGTGAAGGTTTGGGATGAAATGGAATGCGTATTGTTCTTCTGAGGTTTATGAGCATCGAAGCTAAACCTCCACTTCCAAATTGGCTTCAGAGCGAGTGTAAATTTCAGAGAGGAAAAGCTTTTATTTCTTTTTTGTACGGAAAATGGGTGGGACTGTGAGAGAGTACCCCAAGCTCGTTTTATGGGCCCATATAGTCCGCAATTGGTCTTACAAGGTTTTGAGGAGCTAATTGAGTGGGCCTCTATAAACTATTATGAGTCATTGGGTGGGTTCACTTCGTGCTTATTTTGTGAGGGTTCAAGATCTACGTCAATTCGCTATCATTTGTTTCAGGGTTTTTAGGTTCAATGGTCTTTGAACTTTGACTTGATTCGCATTTCGGTTCCTCAATTTTCAAAATCATTCATGTGGTCCTTTAACTTCAATTTCGTTAGGATGAATGGTCCTTCAGTCAATTTTGTTAACTTTTTCTGTTAAATTTGAGCATGTGCATGGCACATGGTGTACTGTTGAGGGTCAAAATCGAAAATTGCTTCACTCCTTGGGTACATGGGCAATTCCTAGTGCACCCAAACCCAACACCCACAACCCCATCATTGCAACTTAACTCTCCCCATCCATATATCTCCCACCTTCTCTGCAATGGCTTATGTCCCTTACTTTATGTCATATTTTTTGATAATAAAAAAAATAAATTTTTTTTTTTTTTTTTTTTTTTTTTTTTATTTCTTCACCATGGGGAAAGAGGGGTTGGGACTAGGTGGGATGGTGAGGGTGAGGGTGACGAAGGCTTGATGGTTGTTGTAGGTTGTGTGTGTTTAGGTGGGGTTGGGTTGGAGAGGTTGTGGCTACTGTGGTGAGAATAGGAGGAAGGTTTTTTGGTTTTTATTTTTTTGGGTGAAATGAATATTCATATGGTGGAAATTAAAAATAATACAAAAATACCATTTTGCCCCTACATTTAACAAAAAAAAGATTAAAAAAATTTGACAGCATGACCATTTTGTTCTAACATGAGAATGATTTTGGAAATTGAAGGACCAAAATGCGAACCGGGTTGAAGTTCACAGACCATTAGACCTTGTTTCATGTATTGAAAGTTTCCATTTCGACAAAAAAAAATAACCGACCGAACTGATTCAGTTCAATTGATTCTTTTGAAACTGATCGATTTAATCTCAATTTAATCAAATTTTGATCAATTTTGGTGATTTGACGATTGCATTGAATTTCTATATTCTAAAACGTACATAATTGGATTGAATTATTGATTTGCTTTTGAGAATCACATAAACTCAAGGATGTAGATGTCATGTTGATATCTTCGTTTGTATTGTTGAAGTTTATCAAATGAAGTTTCTTTTTGTTGGGGTCTTTTTCATTCGAAGGCTCGTCCGGGCTTGTTGATTCTTGGATCGCGATAGAGTGATGAATGAAGCCTTTGTTGCCCTTTTGTCTGAGTTAGCAAGAACTAGGCCCAAAGCATCCCGAGGGAGAAGCAAGTCCTAGGAGAGTACTCTGTTCTTCTTCCAGCGGCTGCATATTTGGTACTGATGTTTCTGGCAGCTTGACGAAGAGTTGAAGATGGTGCATTAATGTTACACAGACTTGACATGAGAGTTTGCTTTGTGAATTGAGACACTACTAGACTAGGCATGAGAGGTTAGGTGTTTCAGATACGAGAGAGAGAGAGAGAGAGAGAGAGAGAGAGAGAGAGAGAGAGAGAGAGAGAAGATATGGGTGGCTTGAGTAGATTTCCAGCAGCTTGACGAAAGCTTTGTCAGGCTTGTAGGTGGCTTGCCAAAAGAGAAAAAAATGGAATAAATGGAATAACAGAGCTTGAAATCGAAGGGTTCCAGAGGTGAGTGGTGATGCTTGCTCTATTTGGATATGTTTATGGGAGGGAGAGGAAGAATATGGAAGAACACGGCTTGAGATTGAAGCTTCCAGCAATGAGTAAGGATGTTGCTTGCTCTGGCTAAGTTGAAGATGACTTGTTGATGTTGATATGAGATTATATGAGCTTGGCATGAGAGGTTGGAGTGTGAGAGCTAAAGACCCACAAGTTTAGCAAATGAGAATGCTTGTGCTTGGGTTGGTGTTTGATATACTTGAGTTTGGGTGTTGAGAATTTATTGTTTGAGGCTATGGCTATGGTGGTTTGATTGTTTGGTTGTGATGGTTGTTGGGATGCTTATAACAGTCAAATGAATGGGGTTTCAAAGAGCATGGCTGAGGAAAGAAAAGCTTAAGACTTTGAAATGTATGGTGTTTGTGACAATGATTCTAGAGAAATTTATGAGTTCTAGAGGTGGGAGGATAAAAGGAAAAGCTTGAAGCTTGAAAGCTATGGTGTTTATAGCTTGGAAGGAAGAAAAATCTTGGAGTTATGCTTGGTGAGGCTTTATGGAGAAGATGATGGATTTTAAGGGTGAGAAAGTAGAAGACATGATTGTGATGGCTGAGGAATGGCTGGGATAGTCGCTAGAATGCTTGCAGCAACTGAATGGAGGATGGAAAGTAGTCTGGTGGTTGCTAAAGGGGGTTGATGGTTGCTGGGCTGCTTGCAGTAACCGAGTGAGGAGTGTTGGCTGAAGAAAAATTGGTGCCTTTTGCTTGAGCCATGAATGCCAATTTATAAAGGGTTGCTTGAGCCATGAATGCCAATTTATAAAGGGTGAGGGTTTTCCTTTATTTCCAATAGGTAAAGGAAGGTACTGGAACCAGCATATTTTCAGTGGTTAAAATGGAGCACTGGGGCATACTATTTTCCAGCATGTAAAGCTAGGTACCATAAACTGATTATTTCCTATGGGTATAAGGAAGCACTGTAAACTGCTTGTTTCCAGTGAGTAATAGGAAGTCCTGGAAAAGGCTTGTTTCCACTGGGTAAAGCTAGGTATTTAGAAAATGAATATTTCCTATGGGTAAAAGGAAGTGCTTGAAAAATATTTCATTTGCTCACCCACATTGGAGAACTCTAAGTAATGGGCTTGGACTTTGGTGCTCTCAAGTAGCTAGCCCAAAGTCTCCATTATCCAAGAGCTTCCGTAGGCCTTGTGGACCTCCGTAACCTTCCACACCATAATCCCTCATGCAAGCCCCGTAAATCACATGACTTGGGTTCATGTGAGCTTGATAGGTGATCAACATGGGAAAAATGTATTATTAGTTTGGCATGGCATGTACGCTATTTCTATATTTATTTAACGAATTAAATCCCAAAATACAACTTGAATTAACGCATGACCGACATTATATGTTATTTTGGGCTTTAAATTTCTTTGGGCTTCCTGTGACTTTTTTGGGCCTCAACACTTTTATATTAAAAAAAAAACATTTCTCTTAGATAAGAAGACATGTGTCAAATAAGTAACCAATGGACACAGATGGTAGAGTAATTTTGGTAACTAAAAATCCAAACTCACTTTCTTCCTTAGAGCATCTACAATAATGCTCCCTCCAATCATATTCCCCAGTTTATGAGGTCATAAATGGTCCGTCTCTATTTTTCAAACCTTCAAATGTAAATTTTTCATTCCAATCTTATAGGAAAAAGCATGACAATGACATTCCCAAACAAGCATCTCCAAGGGAAGAGGCAAAAGAGTAGGCAAACCTCATTTGCCTTGCCACATCAGCATTTTCATGCTCTAAGGGAAGAAGCAAATGGATAGGCAAAATATACCTACTCTCCCAAACAAGGCAATATTGCCTACTTCAAAGTGAAGAGGTATACTGGGCCCCACTTGCTTTTTATAATAAAACATCATCTCCACTCTCTCACCTACTTTCTATAAAATATAATAATAAATGTAAAAGATCAAAATAAATAATATAATAATGGTTTATAGACTTGCATTGCCTAGTCCATTGGAGTGACCTTTTCATAAGGCAAATTGATAGGCAACATGTCACCTAGGTTGTTAGGCCATCTCTAGCCATGGGCGATAGACCAAATAAAACCCTAAAAGAATGCAAAACTCATCTCCAGCCATGGCCTACAAAATTTTTTGGCCACATTTGGCCCATTTAGCCCTCCAACTAGGTCAATTGTAGCCTAGCTTTGGCCTATGCCAAATTTTTTTACGAGCCCCATGCATGTGCTTTTCAAGAAGAGAAATTATCAAGTGTGGGCAAGAGCATGAAACATCTTGTGCAAATACATATCTAACGGTCAATATTAAAGATGCGCTGACATCATCAATGACGTCAGCTAGCTGTTAGGATATATATATATATATATATATATTTTAAATAGCCTTTTTAAATGTTATCAAGTATACGTGTCATCTATGGAATATTGTCTCTAAATAGTAGTTTAATTAAATTAAACAATACATAATTGTTGTACCGTAGTTTTTCTCAAAATAATAAAATATGAGAGACCCTAAAATATAGCCCTAGAGCCCTATGGCTGGAGATAGAAAAATTTAGCCATACACTATTCTTTAAAAAATTAATATTTTGGAGGGTTAAATTTATAGCTCTGGAGCCCTATGACTGGAGATGGCCTTATAGTACAATTTTGCCTATTTCATTTGCATACTCCTTTGGAGATGCTCTTACCACATCAACATTTTTATGTTTACAAAGGAAGAGGCAGATGGCTAGGCAAAATATACTTACTCTCCCCAACAAGGCAATATTTATCTAAGGTTTCAAAGTGAAGAGGTATATTGTGTAATAACCCAAACCTAATTTAATTTTTAATTTTTAATTTATTAGAGGAAAAGACTAAAATACCCATAGAATAATTTATTAGGTTTAAAGTTGATTTTTTTGATCGGGAAGGAATTTGGAAATTCCGCTTATACCGTTGCGTAGAGCACGACGAAACGAGTCCGTAGACAAGTAGTGGGCTCGAATTAGAATTATAACGAAGGAAATACGATCAAAATACATATAGGGGTAAAATCATAATTCCCCCCCCCCCCCCCCCACAGTCGTCACCTTCTCTCCTCCATAACCACCGCCACCGCCACCCTCCACTCCGACCAATCAGACTAGGCCGAATTGAACCGCCGCCTCTCTCCCTTCCTTTCCCAACCTGTCCCCGCCTTTGGAACTGCCGGATTTCGCAGGAAAACGTCCAAGATCGCGTCGGTTTTTGACAGGAATTCCAAGCTTTCATTCTCCTTACTCCGGCCACCAATCTTGACGAGTGAGGTACTCGGGTACCAGCTGACCTGTAGGAGGGACCTTCGAAAGGTCCAGCTAGCTCGGACACTCAGTGAGTGGACTTTTATTTTATAAACAATTTTAAGCAATGGAATTTCATTATTTGAGCTTGAATAAGTTTTATTGATTATGGCTTTCCTAGCATGATTTGTGGAAGTTAAATATTTTTATTGATATGCTGCCTAGTTGAATATGCTAAAGGATATGGAAAGTAAGAATTGAGATAGTTATCAGATTAAATGGTAGTAGGATTTTAGAATAATGAAGAATAGTTTTATAAATGCTAAACTTTTTCAGAAATACATATATTTATTTTAAAACCACCATGGATACCCAAGGTTGCCTTTGGATTAAAATTTGCCTCGGAATTAATGTTGTCTTCGGAATAAAAATGGTTGCGTTCGATTTTGTCAGCGCGCTTGACATTTGCCCCACGAGTTTCGGGGACACCCGGGCCGTGGGAGGGAGGAACACGGATCAAGTTGATTAAATATCTCCTGAGTCTAGCGAGGATTGCTACTCGGGTGACCTTGCGTTTCCCGAGACCTGCTAGGACGTGTTGCTTCGGTGGCATGAGGAATTGACGGAAAAAAAAAGGAATTGACGGAAACTAAAGGAATTGACGGATAAATAAAATGGGTATACCTAGGTGGTAGAGAAATATTTATTTTTCAACAGTTAAAACTGTTTAATGATTTCTGTGAGCGTGTGAATGTTATATAAATATAAATATGCATGCTTGATTTCTGTATGAGTATAGTATGCAACATGATTAAGTTTTCTAATTGTTTTGACGGAGGGGTTAGTATGTTCATATTCTATTTTCTAAAACTTTATTTTTGTCCACTCATATTTTTGAATGTTTTGCGCTCCCAAGCATTAGACGTGCACCAGAGCGCCACCACCGAACAGATTCCACTCTCTCTCTTTTATGTAGGATTTTCTTTTGAAATCAAATTGTGCTGTTGTAAATTCTTGAATTAGTTGCTCTGATGAATTGCCCTAGGACTTTTTGTATAGCCTGAGGCCATTTAGTTCAGTTGAATGGTCTAGATGTAGATTGATTTCATGCTGGCAGTTGGGATATGTATACATATGGTTTTGACAGATGGAAATTCTGGGAAATGATCAAATTACAGGGGAGATTTTGCCGAATTTTCAGTAGAAGTCGAACTTGTAATTAACTTGAATTTTAACTAAAAGGGCAATTTAGTCATTGTGCCCCGGCACCTTCCATGTGTCGGACACGCACAGAGTTCGATTCGGATTCCAAAGTGGAATTTGGATCGGGTCCTGTCATATTGAGCCCTACATAATTTTATTATTATAAAATACAATTTTCTTTTATTTTTGTATGGTAGGTGAAATGCCGGAAATGTAAAAAATAAAAAATAAAAAATTGCATTACCTAATTCATTTGCCTAATCCATTAAAATAAGCAATTTTCTTTAAAAGAGACAATTGAATAGGCAACATGCCACATCAATACATATATTACACTTTTTACCTACTTCATTTGTTTATACCCTTGGAGCTGCCGCAGTGACTTTTCAAATCTTGACCGTGGTAATTGGCAAGTTGGCAGTACAAGAACCCAAATTGATGTCTAAAATCCAACACTTGACTTGTTTTTTGCTCCCAGCTCAACGCCTGCCTTCGTACCCACTGGCTCTTGTCCTACTCTGGCTCCTATTGAGAAACAGACGAATCCAGCCAAGACTTTTCTGTCGTCAGGTGATGGTGGAAGAAGGCAATGAAGTTTCCTGGAAAATGTCCCAAGCAGTACAAGCTGCACGGGAAAAAAGAAAGACAGCCTCCATATAAAATTTGATTACACTTTTTTTTTCTTTTTCTTTTTACTATTATATAAATATGACATAAATTACAACGAAAATTCTCCGTAAATTACACCAATGATTTAAGGTAACGAGACTATTAACAACCATATTTGCTTTTCGATAAATATAACCGAAGGCAAATAATTGATTTTATTTTCCAGGTAATTGCGCCTCGTGTTTGGGAATGCGAACATTTTTTCTTTGTCTATGTATTTGAAACTTGTATCTTCCTACTCCCTACAAATTAAAGGACATTTTCAAAGCAGTAAAAACGAGATAGGGATTGTTGGTGACATGTTGTTTAGTCGTATGCATGTTCTTATCACCCATCCCCATCATTAAAGAATTGTACAAAACTATGCACCTCACCCCTCACTTTACGCCAAACCGCCCTTATTTCAAGACTTATCAATACTTTCCTGGAAACTAATTCAACAATAACAATCTAAACATATGTCAATTGATTTGTCTTTTTGTTTTATACGAATTGATTTGTTTATTATATAACGTTGAGTATTAATAGAGTTTGGACTAAAAATAAAGTGGGGGTGGAAAACTTGAAATCTAGGTGCCTAATGTGCACGGCGGAAGATGTAAATGTCGTTTTTTCTTTAATAAGATAGATATAAATTGGATATGTAAAAAGGACATGATTTTTTATCAAGTTGAAGCAAAATGATATTTCTGGTATTTCAGTAGCTATCTCATCTTTTATATGTTTGGAGCCCACTACTTTTGCATTACGTCTCCTCCTTATCAGCATGTGGGTTCATTTTCTGCTCTAATTTTTTAGGTCATGATCTGTTTTAATTTAAAGAATTTAAAAGTTGACACATCATCCTAAAATAAAAACCTAATTTACTCCTAATTAAAAATAATAATAAAAAATTCTAACACCAAACTAACGGAATAGTTAACATCTAAAGCCGTTTTTTTTTCTCCTTGCTTCACGTTGTGTTCTCTTGTGTTTTGTGCCTTCTTCCTTGGGTTCTGGCTTTTTTTTTTCCTCTTCATGTCTCTGCCCCAATCTTGTTCTTGCTCTTCTAGTAACATCACAGCCAGTAGAAATAAGAACCCACCAAGAAAAAAATTTGAGACAACATAATTGAATTGAATTAGTAATCTCACAGTGACAGCTTGAAGTTGAGAAGAACCACGTGCGTAACAAACGCACGAGGCATGTAAGTTCCCTCGGTAATTACAATTAAACAGACTCAAAGCTTGTCTGGTGATGATTGGATCCCGCTAAATTTTAGGGAGACTTTGGAAAAGACCAAATGAAAGAGAAATTTTTTAAAAGAATATAAAATGGACAAAATTGCCCTATTTATTTTTGGATTTCCTAAAGAATCCTTTAGAAAGAATCATTTAGGTTTGCATGTCTTTGATTTGAAAGTTAAGAGGTTTTTTTGTCTTTTTTGAAAAAGTTTTGGCTTTTTCCAAAAGTAAAATTTTGTGTGTGGCTAAAACCTAAATTTACTAAATTGATTTTGGGGCAAAGATATGAATAAGAAAAGAAAAAAAGTCATAATGTAAGGAAGAAGACAAAAAAGATAAGAGGATAGAACGTGAAGTAAGGAGGAGAAAAAAAACAACTTTGGATGTTAACTATTCGGTTAGTTGAGTGTTAGGGTGTTTTTTTTCTTTTTTAATTAGCAGTAAATTGAGTTTTTGTTTTAGAATGATGTATCAACTTTTATCTCCCTTTACATCTTCCTTTACACCCTTGCAATGGAGATGCTCTTAGAGCACTTTTCGGCGAATATGGGTGTAAATACAACATACAACCCCATTTACACCCAGCCACTAAAGTTGCACTTAGGAAGGAGGAGAGGGAAACTCACACACAAATCTCATGAGGGCTTGAACCCAATACCACTTAGGAGCACACCAAAAACCCGAGTAAATTCAACTAACACCCTATTGGTGTCATTTTTCCTACCAACCAACCCTAAATGCATAGTTATAAGCATATAAATATTGAATACTAAAAATTCATTTGTTGTATTATGTAGGATGATGAATGTTTATGCTTGTTTGATTGTTAGATGAAGAAAGTACGTGGTTAAGCTACGAAAAGTATTATTGAGCATTCAACTGCTTCTCGATCTGAAATAATATAAGATATATAAGATGAAAACCTATATTATTATATAATGGAATTTGTAAAAAAAATATTGAACATTTTATTTTGTCAGAAGCATATCCCTTAAAATAATGGAGAATCGCTAAACTTTTCAGGACATTCTTTTATGTACATTCTTAAAAACAGTCAAATAAGCACCGCAAGTTTTTTTAGTACTAGGGATATTAGAGTCATATAATATTAAGCAAGGAATCTTCAATCTTGTAATCCTTTCAATAAATAAATAAATTATTGAAAAGGATGCCAAACATAAATGAGAAACCAATCCAAGTTGAAGAAGACTAATATACTCTGCAACTACCGTTAATTTGGTCATCTTCATATTGGAAGGAAAAGGGATAGCAACTTCTACGAAAAATATATATAAGTTATTCTCCTATGCAAACGTTCAGACGTTATTATCATGCAGATTCCATATTGTAAATAAGGAGAAAAACATGGAGGGGTAGTAGAAAATACATCGTATCCACATAGGAGAATATATATATATATATATATATATATATACAGTCCCCTTCTATTTAGAGATCCCTCAAATAAATATTTGAGGGACACCATTTAGGGTCCCTTATGAATTTTTTTTAACGATCCAAACCATCTATGTTTTAAATCTACATTCATAGATCATTCTTGCAAAAAATTAGACAAATCGGAAACCGTTTCAACATTCAATTGTGTTCTACAAAATTAATGAACACAATGTTTCAAAAAAGTATTAAAATTTCAATAACTCAATTGAGTGGTCAAATGATATCGGATTCAAGTGATTTTTTGTAGAGATGATCTTTGAATTATTATCTAAAACATAGATGGTGTGGATTAGTAAAATACAATACGGAGTGAGTCCTACAAGGGTGTCCCTCAAATAAACTTATTTGAAGGATTCATCAATGAAAGCTCTCTGTATATATATAAGTTTGTTTAATGAAATAGAAGTAACTACTTGAGCAAATAACATAAGATAAAAGGAGTTCAAAAAAATAACATAAGAAAAAGGTATTCCATTCCTTTTTTTTTTTTTTTTTTTTTTTTTTTTTTTGTTTACATTTGAGGAAAGAAACCTTGGGGTTTCAATCCTGGGTGCCACACACGGGGGAAGGAGGAGGGACACAACAACTATGGTAACCTCATTCAACCATTCCTCATTCTTTAGTTCTCTTTCCTAGCTGATTTCTCACTTTGGAAAAAGGGGAAAGAAAGTTATGGCATTCTCTTTGTGTTTGACTAAATTGAAGCGTAAAGTGTTCATAAGTATAAGTACCAATGTAACTTACAAAAGAAACAAACCTCAAAGGTAAAGCAAGGCAACGCAAGAGCAAAGGTATGGTCAACGACGGTAGTAGCGGCAACGACATCGACAAATTCTTCCATGTCAATTGTAGATAATTCAAGCAGGCACAACTTCTTTTCACTCCCCCTCACCCCTTGAAGAGAAAGGGACGTCGGAGTCAAGAAAGATGCAATATCTCAATTGGAAAGAGAAATGATTCCTTTTCACTCCCCCTCTCTCATTGAAGAGGAGGGGAGGAGAGCACTTAAATTGCAAGGAGAATGCAAGCACATGTCACAAGAAAAACCAAGCTTTGATACCATGTCAAAACAAAGTAGGGCAAATATTCAATTATGCTAATATATTTATTCTTCTCCAATATGAAGGTATTTATATAAAAGTACAACCCTAAATAAAATAGGAAATAAATATAAATTACAATAGAAAATAAATATCTATTATAATAGTACTAGACAAATAGATAAGTAACCAAAATCCTAATATGGTAAAGAACCGAAATCCTAACTAAATAAGGACTCACCAACAAGGGCATCGTGTGCAGGGACGGTCCTATGACTTGTACAACCTGGGCTATAGCCCAGGTGAGTTTTTTTATTTATTTCTTATAGTTAGTGTTAGTGTTAATCACATTTATAGCAGACATATTAATTTAAACTAATTGGATAATTGTAGTGTTACCTCTAGTTCATTTCTGAATTTCCTTATGAATTTTCTTTTCTCTTAATTCATTTTTGTTCATCATGGTAGACCTTAGCTGGCATATTGTTGGTGTAAAATAGGCCTTTTAAACAAATATATATATATATATATATACACACATACACACACATGATCAATTCCATAAGCCTAAAATCTAATAGTTTAATAAGGTAAATCTAGCCCACCTCATTTTAAAATCCTGGGTCCATCCCTGATCGTGTGGTTCCGGCCCATGATTCTCCAACAATCAAGTATCAAGTGTGGTGCCGCCCAATGATCCTCTAACAGTGAAGTATCAATCCTCTAGAAGAGATTATAAAACTGCAAGCAAGCTGTTAAAGGTTTAGATTAAGAATTGAAAACCCTAATAACTTAAAGGGTCAATCGGAATCGAAACATTAGACAAAGAACACAAGAATTAAATTATTGACCGCCACTCAGTTGCAATAGTCTAATTGTCAAGTATTCACAGTGTTGCTGCCAGGCCAATCAATCATACCATTCTCAGTGGAAATATGTTTTGGCCGTACTTTATATATATATATATATATATATATATATTTAAGCAATTCTGGAAAAGTGGAAAATTGAACCTAAAATCTTATGAGAAAGCGGAGAATTGAACCTAAAATCTTATGGGAAAGCGGAGAATTGGACCTAAAACTTCTAGAAAAGTGGAGAACCGAACCTGAAACCTCTTTATATAGTACGTCTTAACCACACACACACACACATATATATATATATAGTACATCTTAACCACATATATGATACATCTTAACCACCTGAATTACAAGTCAGACATATATAAGTACTACAAGTCAGCCGTATATAAGTACGTCATAACCACTTGAACCACACACACACATATATATATAGTACTTCTTAACCACATATATGGTACGTCTTAACCACCTGAATTACAAGTCAGACATATATAAGTACTACAAGTCAGCCGTATATAAGTACGTCATAACCACTTGAACTACAGGCCGAGAAAGAGAGAGATATTTTGCTAGAACTCCTTTTGATGCAAAATAAATAAATAACCTATGATTATGGAAAATTTTGTTACCACATGAGATGTTTAGTGCTCTTTTTTGTGTTTTAGTTGAAATAGAGGAGGTTCAACCAATGTTTTCAATTGTTTTTCCTCACACTCAAAAATAGAAAAATAATAAGATAATATTCACCTATCTACAAATTGTTGAAGAAGCATATATTCCGAGTGCAAACACAAATTTTTAAAGCTTGAGAACAATCAATCCAAGCCGTCAGATCCTCTGATATATTCAACAAGGTACCGTGAAAACCATACATGCATTATCCCAACCGAAATTAAAAAGAAAAAAAACCAAGCCAAAGGACTTTTTATGACTCGCTAAAATCAGGAGCAACATCATCATCATCTCTGCAGTTCCATCATACGAGCAAAGTCCTCGAAGCACACGAACCCGTCCCCGTTCTTATCTACCACCGCTATCATGCGCCGGCAGTCCTCTAAGGTGCACCGGTCATCCCCTATCGCCGTAAAAACGTTGAAAAGCTCCTCGGCCGATATTTTGCCGTCGTGATCCGAGTCAAAGACCTCGAAAGCATCGCGTAGCTCCGAGTCCGCGGCCGGACCGCAAACTGGGCCGACCCGGTTCAACAGTGCCTCGAGGGTTATCGAACCGTTGCCTTCTCGGTCCACCTCGCTCAGCATCAACATCACCTCTTCTTGGCTCGGCGGGTCGGCTCCAAGCCGGCTTAGCAGAGCCTCCAGCTCTTTTCTCGAGACCACTCCGTCGTTGTCTCGGTCTATGAGCTTAAACGCCTGAGCCATGTCGAGCTGCAGATCGGTCGAGAAATCGGACCAGTCGCCCGATCTTTCGGGCAAAACGCTCGTCGGCGTCCGGATACCACCGGCTTCGGCTCCGGTTCCGGGCTTGTGGAGGGAGTCCGAGGACGAGGACGACGAAGACGACGACGACGCCGTTCCGGACCCGAACGATGGTGGGTCGGAGGAGCGGCGGGACACCGCGGATCGGTCCTTCTTGGAACGGAAGAGCTGTTTCGGGCTGAGACTTTTGGAGCTGATTTTGATGAGCTTCATGACCGAAAATGAAAACCCAGAGGGGAAAAGAGGTTGGAGAGAGAGAAAGCGAGAAGAGTAAGAGGAAGAAGAAGGAGAGAGAAGGGAAAGGATGGGAAGATGAGAGGACGGGACGAGGGGTTAAATGGTGGGAGTGTAGGCACTGCCATGGCAACTTCCAGGAAGCTTCGTAGCGAACCTTTCCATGCGGCTAATTTATATATGATAATTACGAAAATTCACCGTTGAATTAACAATTAATATCCAATTAATTATGCTTTCATTAAATAGCAATAACAAGTGGGGCCCCACCTATTTTGGTGTGACTTTGGGCTTGTTTGTTTGTTTCTTGGTGAGTTTTGTTTGTTTGGTTTGGGTACGTTTTGCTGACCTTTTGTTGTTAAAGTGTTTTTTCCCCGACCCAAAAGAGAAAAAAAAGTCTGAGCTCTTTGTACACACCTTTCTATTTCTTTTCTAGAGGGAGGAGATTCTTTGCCGTGTTTGGTTAGCTGGAAAATTTGGGCTTTCGTTTGGTTTACCCGCAATATGTGGCGGTTTTATGATTCTCTAATCTGAGCTGTCATATTGCCATTGCTTGATAGAATTTATTTTGATTGGATTGACCTCCTGCTCCAACGATTTTCATCATAGAGTTCACACCACATAGGTAAAGTGGTTCCTTTTTCTGAGTCCAATTTTCCTGTTACCAATTCCCCTGTGCCCTCCTGTTTCCTTGTCTTTTGAACATGTGTCCTTTCATTTAACATAAGTTAACTCTGTTAAGTATAATATTATATTGTAAATATCAATACAATATTATGATGTTTTCTTAAGGATGCTTCATAGCAGAGAATGGAGACGATGAAGGGACGGTAGTGTTGGGTAGTTACAAGGCTGATGGGGTCTTGTATGTTGGAGCATGGCAATTCTATTGATGGTGTTCTCAACTTCAGTAGAACCTTAGAGGGTTGCCAATGAATGCAGCGGCGGTCGCCTTGGTGGTAACGATTTCATCAATTATAGAAAAAAAAATTAACCCACAAGGAAACCTTGTGAATTTCAGGTGGATTGATTGATATTTGGGCAGCATAACTTGGTTTTTTTCTTTGGAATTTTTTGGGTTATTATTTGTGGCTCACCATGAACTGAACACCTTGAATGGGTTCAAAAAAGGGATCCGCAATTGATTGAGAGAATGAGTCAAATCTTTGGTGTTTGAAATAGAAAATTGAGGAAAAAGCACTAAATAAAGAAATGGGTGACCATGAGAGGTTGAGGCAATCAGTTAGATGGCAGTGGTACAGATGATGAAGGATAGAATTGGGGCTGCCATGGAGGCAGCGGTGGTAAGACTAAAGAGACGAGGAAGAGGAATTGGATTTGGAGTGTTTTTGTTATTTCCATTTTAAAAAAATAATTTTATTATGTTAAAATAAGTTAATAGTGTTAACTTTATGTTAAGTGAAGGGACACATGTCAAAAGATGAGGAAGGAAACAGGAGGGCATAGGGAATTTGGTAACAAGAAAATTTGACTCTCCTTTTCCCCAGCCCCTACATTTGGGTTTGATCCATAGTTTAAAATATCGATAATATTGACGAAATATCGAGAATATTATCGTGTTTTCAGAGCAAGGATATTTTGAAATGTATCTCCACACATATCGTATAAATATCAATAATATCGGAAAATATCGATGTCAATAATTTTTCTCACACTTGAGCAATATTTGGTTGACTAGTGATCTCGTCACAATTAGGTTGTGTTTTATAGTATTTACTAGTTTGGTACCAAGTGAATTTGAATTCGTGACTTGTGGGTGTAATTTCAATTTAGTACCCTGAATTCTTATCCTAAAGGCATATTTACTCATGCAATCTCAATTTTAATAATTACATATCCTAAATTTTTCAATTTTTGTAATCTAAATCCAGCGTTAACTTCACCCAGAGGCGAATCCACAGAGGAGTAAGGGTGGTCAATTGATCCCTGCAACCTCTGAAATCCTCCATTAGAGCAGCCAAAGTTGACTATCGCAAAGTGTTCGAAGAAATTCCCTAAAGGGGCAACCTGTGTCTGTGCGTAGCTAGAGGAGAAGAAGCGCAGCACAGTTGCCTTGTGCGCAGCGCGCCTTATTGTTTTTGTTTTTTTTCTCTCTCTCTCAACGTCAAAATGATGTCGTTCCACTAAAGTTTTTATTTTTTTATTTTAAATATTAAAAAAAAAAACCTATGCCAAAACACGCGCGCCTTTTTTTTTCTTTTTTTTTTTTTTTTTTTTTCGTTGATTTTAATGATGTTGTTTTTTTTTAATTTTTTTTTTTTTAAAACCTGGCCAAAATGACGTGTTTTAGCATAGGTTTAAATAATAATAATAATAATAATAATAGCCCAGCAAGCTGCTCTTTTTTGCCCGATAATTCCCCCATCCCCAAATGTTAAAACTCATTTCTTCTCACCTCTAAACCTCTCAACCCTAAATCCCCAACCCAACCTTCACTTCCTTCCCCAACCCAACCTCTATTAATGATGAATTATAATATTATCGTTTCATTTCTACGGGTATATTTTGTATAATTTTTTTTTAACCTTTAAAGGTTGATCCCTGAAAGGAAATTTTATGAATCCTCCACTAACTTCACCATCAAAATTTTCGTTAATTACTTACGTGACAAATCTGAATTCCACCTATTCACTCCTTTCAACGTAAGTTATCATGGCCCCTTTTATTTTTGTTGTAAGTGTTAATAATACTTAATCATCATTTTTAATGATTATCTCTCGTTTCCACCTTACATTTAAAGGTTATTGATTGTTGCTTTTCATTTCATTAATAACCAGCAGAGAAATGTGTTCAGTAAACCAAATTCGGTCCAAAGGAAGGACAACTAGGATGACATGCCATGCAAACCTTTCTTTCAACAACACCATTTTGTTGTGGTATCTGAGGACAAGTCGTCTCATGGATAATTCCATGTTGTTGGAAGTAAGTCTGAAAGTCAAGATTGAAAAATTCTCTACCATTGTCTGAGCGAAGAATCTGGATTTGAGCATTAAACTGAATTTTCATCTGTTTGTGGAAGGATTGAAAACGGGAAAACACTTCGTTTTTATTCTTTAGCAAATACAACCATGTCATTAGTGTACAATATCTATGAATGTGACAAACCATCGAACACCAGAAGGAGCAGTGATAGGGGAAGGTCTCCAGACATCAGAGTGAATTAACGTAAATGGAGTAGTACACTTGTTTGTACTTAACGGGTAGGGCACACGGTGACTCTTGGCCAAAATTCAAGTATCACATGTGAAGTCAGAGTCCTTGAAACCTGAGAATAAATCTGGTATAAGATGCTTCATATAACTAAAAGACGGATGTCCCAATCGATGGTGCCACAACCATATTTGCTTCTGTTTACTATCAAAGGGATGCGTCACACTGTTAGCCACGCCGGGATTGAAGTCATTGACATAATATAGCCCCCCTCTCTTAGTATCACGACCAAGAATCTCCTTAGTGTGAATATCCTGAAGCAAACAAAAACTTGAGTAAATGAGTACACAACAATTCAATTGTTCAATAAGCTGACTAACTGACAACAATTTAGTGGATAAAGATGGAACAAGTAAAGTATTAGACAGTGTGAGAGAGGATGAGAGTGCAACAGTGTTAGCCCCCGTCACAAGATAAGTAACGCCATTGGCATTTGCAATACAGGTTCGTCTAGGTTGTGTAGTATTTAGAAAATCATCAAGATCAAACGTCATATGATCAGTTGCACCGGAATCAATTATCTAGCTCCTGGAATCAATCTTATCAGAAGTATGGAATCCATAACCAGTACCATTACTGGTCGTATTGCATTGTCTTTGATCTTTAAGAGTAACCTACCAATCGGGGTAGCCATGTAATTTAAAACAAGTCTCACGAGTGTGTCTTGGATCACCATAATATGCGCAATCTAGTCCATGTGTCGGGGTCGTTAGTCAAGAATTCATAATCTGTGCAGCGGAAGATGCATATGATACAGGTTGAGTAGGAATTTGGATCGGGATCTGAGCCTGAGTCGGGGCCAGAGTCGGAGTCGAAATCGGGGTCGGGGTCTGAATCAAAGACAAATTTGGGGTCAGGGTCATCGTCGGAGTGGGGTCGGGGTCGTCTTTGAAGTTGAGGTCGGGGTCGTCGTCATCATAGTCGGGGTCAGGTTCGGGGTCATCAAAATAGGATCCTAATTCCAGATCGGGTTTCGGGGTCATCAAAATAGGATCCTGATTCAGGATCAGATTCGGGGCCAAAGTCTGCATATGTAGGAGCTGAGCCATCTGAGCACTCAACTCAGTTATGGTTGGTTGAGAATGAGAGAAGGAGTTGGTGGTGCTACCTCCATGAGGGTTGAAAAAATCATCAACCTCCATAGCGGCGGCGGGGGTTTGAAACTAGAGTCAGCAATTCCAAGATCGCCGCTCCGATACCATACTAAAATATGAAAACTATGAGAGAATACTTGTTTGTGGAAATTTTCTGTGTATTCTTCTCCTTGTAGGAGGTCATATTTATAATACAACGAAACCTGAATGGGCAAGTAAATAATAAATTCCTAAATCTATTTACAGTAGGAAATAAAAAATTAAAGTAAATCAATTACAATTATAATAGGAATTCTTGGTGTGTAAGGAAAGTAAGTCAATATCCACAAGTCACACCAACAATTCTCACCTCTAAACCTCTCAACCCTAAATCCCCAACCCAACCTTCACTTCCTTCCCCAACCCAACCTTTATTAATGATGCATTATAATATTTTCGTTTCATTTTTATAGGTACATTTTGTATAATTTGTTTTAATCTTTAGAGGTTGACCTTTGGAAGGAAATTTCCTGAATCCGCCACTGACTTCACCATCAAAATTTTTGTTAATTACTTGCGTGACAAATCTGAATTCCACCTATTCACTCCTTTCAACGTAAGTTATCATGGCCCCTTTTATTTTGATGTAAGTGTTAATAATACTTAATCATCATTGTTAATGATTATCTCTCGTTTCCACCTTACATTTAAAGGTTATCGATTGTTGCTTTTCATTTCATTAATAACCCAACAGAGAAATGTGTTCAGTAAACCAAATTCGGTCCAAAGGAAGGACAACCAAGACGACATGCCATGCAAACCTTTCTTTCTCGCATAGAAAGGCTTCTTTATGGAATAAAGTAATAAAAAATGTGCTACAACTCAGTACTCGACTAGCACTCTTCCTTTGTGTCTGGTTTTGAATTATAAAATAAAGTGAATGTTTTTTTTCTTTTCCTTTTGTTACAAAGATAAAGACTACGCATCATCATGAGTTGTTGTTGTTCATAGCGTACGCGTGTCGTACACGCAAGACGACGTACTTAAACTATTTCAACAAATAATAATAATATTTTCTTTAGATAAAACAAAATGTTTAACTATGCTAGGGTCATCTCCAATCATGTTGGGACTGAACTCAAATTTCAACTCTTTAAAATATAACTATTTATGTATTTTAGGACTTAAATGGTTTTTTTCTCAAACCTTGCAGACACATAATTTGAGTCTGCGACTTTATTTAAATTGTTTTAAAATGTTAACCTTTAATTTTTTTTTATTGTTAATTTTTTTTGACATTATTTTTGTTTCAACATTCATGATTTAATTTTCTGAACATTTTAACATTAAAAAATCTAAAATTCAAAACATAATATAATTTCACTTTTAAGTACAACAAAAGAAAAAGATTATAAAAAAGCACAATTTTTTTTTCCCTGCAAAACATAGCAACTTTAATTAAAAAAAAAGAAAAAGAAAGAAACAACAACTACAAATGGTGAGCTGCCACTTGTCATGCGGAAGCAAAGGGAGAGCCAACACGTCGGTTTGCAACGGACACAAAGGGAGATGCCAACACGTGGCAGGCCTTGCAGCTGCTTCAAGTCTGATGCTGTTAGCTGGTGGGCTCCATCAGCACATGGTTGATCAAGTTGGGCTGATGCTTTTGGTTTGTGGGCTCCACTAAATTTGGGTCCAGGTAATATGAAGGGCACTATTCCGCCTGGGCTTTTGCTTGGATAGTTTTATTGCCTCTTCCTATACAAGGTTGAAGAAGCATTTAGGGCCAAAATGTCAAAATTTGACATTTGGCCCGGAAGGTTGGAGATGGCCTAAAGTCCTCTAAAATTATGGTCAAATCTAATATTGTCTTTGTAAGTTGCCATGATTCATTTTTGCCCAATTTACCAAGGTTTCACTTTTCTCATTCTATTCAAACCAATGACGTGGCAGTTGCATGATCCTTTAATATTTTGGTACGTGGAAATCCCATTAGCAGTTTTGATAGATATTTTAAGGAAAGTGACGTTTGGAAATGTTATGAAATGAGGATAAGGAAATGTAAGGGCTTCTTTCGTATCCTACTTGGATCCAATTTTATAAATTCAAAAACAAATTTTAAGTCAAAAGCCACAAAAATATGTTTGGTAAGCCTATTTTAAAAACTCAAACCCAAGAAAAACTCAAAAACACCAACATTATTAAAAACAAAAAAGTGAGGTAATAAATATTTATTACTCTCATAATTATTGCCTTGTCATAAATATTATAATTATTTTTTAATTCAATATAATTTGTCCATCTCTATACAAATTTTTTTTTATAAAAAAAGTTTGCTTAATTAAAAGTTTAAAATATGCATAAAACAAGGCAATATTAAATTATAATAAGCCACTATGAGTCACTTCTTTCTTCTCAGATTATAGGAGCTCTTTGAGGTCTCCCTATTTTAATAGGTGGATAGGAAGCATAGTTGGAGTTGTATTTTTCCAATTTCTCCCTAAAATTTGTCTAAAGAGGTGAATTAGGTATCTCATTGTAGATATTCTAAGGATATGACATTCCCCATCGTCCCACATGAGGTGTTCATACCCATACAAGTCAAGTATTACTTTCCTAAAAGGGCATTTACCAAACATTTCTATACAATTTTATACCCATTTCCAAACTTTTAAACGTTACACCATATGGGTCAAGGCACGGGCAAGGATTAAGCCAATAAAAATAATAACATGATAGATAAAAATTCCACAATTTCGGCGTGGTGGAAATGGAAAGGAAATGATTTATACGGAATTAGGTTGAGCGCCGACTAAGGTTAACATGGCAGCACGCGGAATCAACACGCTAAACCGTGACGCACACAGAGAGCGAACATGGAGAAATTCACTTATGTATAATGTATGTAATGCAAAGGTCTTCCTTTCCTTTTGGCCTTTTGTCTTTGACAACCCACGTCTGATTTCCCCAAACTCAGTGGGCATTGTTGGACCACCACACACACTATACACACGCTCTGAATAATAATTTAATGCCATTTTCGTTGATGGGAAAAAGAGGTTTGACTCTCTGCCATCCACTACTTTTCTGTGTCTTTTTTTTCCAAGACACGGTGGTGGTGATCATCAATCGCAATATCTTATGCTTTTGAAACAATCAATTATTGCATTCTGCAACCACAGAAGCTTATATTGTACTTACTTTGAGTATGTGATTCATATGCCGTTGGATTGGAATGTCACTATTCAATTACACAAAATTTCAAATGGGGGGAGTCCTCCCATTGTGTCTAGTGTATGATGGGTGTCAAATTCGATGTCATTAGTCCGTTTCTTTTCTTAACAAAAAAAAAACAAAAAAAAAAAAAAAATCAGAAAAGAATGGTATAATGTTTAGAGGATATTTACTTATTTGGAATAAGGAAAGTCGTCAATCGAGAAAATTGGGAATATATAAATTAAGGAATTGGAATTGGATTAGCTATTTCTCCCTAATTGATTTGGTTTTAAGGATATTAGATTACAGATTTTAACAATAAAAGGAGAGTCATACAAGTAGAATAATTTCAATACCCCTGTGTTAGTAAACATAGAGAAATGAGGGTTATGGGAGCATATATTTCGGAGACCAATGAGCGAGTGACACGTGAAAAAGGGAAATTCCTTAAGTCAATTAATTATCATAATTAAATTGTATTTAATTAGGGAAATTATAATTGATTTAATATAGGAATATATCCCTAAATCAAGAATGAGATTTCCACCGAATCTCCTTGATTAATTCCTATCTTCTATTTTTGGGTAAGAATAATCATAATTAAATAAGGATTTCTTCAAACCTAGCTGACAAGGAGCACTATATATAAATGGCTACATCATACATATGAGGTAATCACAAATCTGATTTTTACCCGAGAAACACCTCTCTCTCTCCTCCTCTCTCTCTCTCTCTCTCTCTCTCTCACGGCTCTGTTTGTGCCTAATAAATCACAGTCATAAACTGACCGAAGGGACCTCCTCTCGGCCCTAGCACCTACTCATGAACTGAAACGGCCATGTTTCGTTAGGCATTTCGCCTTCCTAAAACAAAAGAAAAGCTGCAAAGGCAGAATCCTCTCGGCCTCGCGACCGCGGTATTATGGGCTGAAGCCGAAGGCCGTAAAGGACACGGCCGAAGATACTGTGGTTAAATTGCCACGTGGCCTCAGGGTCCCACGCCCCATTTAATGAAGTAATGTCTCTGACTATCGCAGCAAACCCACTAGTCGCAAGAAGCATTTAATGCACGAGGAAAGAGGGGAAGTGACTGAAGTCAGGATTTGGTGAGGGAAATCAGAGTGGTTAGGCGCAAATATTCTCACAAGTAATCTTACAACTTGAGGTCAGATCACCAACCACCAGACCAGGGCATTAAATGCGTTCCCACGGCCAAGGGGGCAAAACCCACGATCAGGGCAGTGGCCGAGATTTACCAGGATTTATGGGGGTCACACCACCATGCTTCACGATCCCAAATGCCGATTTGACTACCCACTTGCCCCGATCAGGCTCCACCACGCAGGTCTTTTCGGCCTCGATTGTCCCTCCAGGACTCCTATAAATACTAAGCTCAGGACTACATTTAAAGGGTTCAAACACCAAACCAAAAGCCTCCCACGAAGCAAATTATATTTTCCTGTAATGCACTTTCAATACCTTTATTTGCTTTCCTAGGAGTAGTGGTAGATTGTAAGGAAAATCCATTCATCAATATATCATACGACCCTTGATTTTCAAGGCGCCGGAGCACCATTTCTGTTGTCATCTCATTCACCCCATATATCATACGACCGTCGCTCTCTGAGCAACGCGCCGGAGCACCGCCTAAAACCCGCCACCAACACCACCACTAAACGGCCTTGTAGCTCAGGCCGTGAACCTGACGGCCGAGATCAGTTCCTCTCTCGGCCACAATCGTTTGATTAGGAGTCGAAACTCAAAACAGGCGCATCATTTAACCATCTTCTACCCAAACCTCATCACCATCTCGACGCACGGTAGACCGTGCTGGCACGCCCGCCCCACAACCGCACCGCATCCAAAAGAAGGACGTCACGTGTTAACGCACTTTCCCGCGGCCGGAGCACCAGGCGTAAGATTTGCGCAGCCAACACTTTTGGCACGCCCGGTGGGATAATTGTCAAAAACTCATGGTGGAAACTAGGGCACAAGAAAAGCTCAAAAACAAAACAGTCGAAATGACTTCCGAGGCTCCTGAGTCCACCTCACCAATCACCATCACCGAGACCGAACACGTGGTCAGAATCTCGGCCAGCGTTCCAATAACGACGGATCGTGCGGCCGAGTCCATGGGAGAGCAAGTAGTAGCGGAGGATTTGATGGCTAAGCTGGCCTACAGGATAGAGACATCTTTTATGGCCGCAATGGACAGATTCTCCTCACAGCTACGGACGCTCTTTCAGGAGAGAATGCCGGAAACATTGTCCGCAACGCCTCCCAGAGTCGGACAGAGAAGCCAAGAGTGCGAAAGGTTTGAGCCCTACAGCGAGAGCAGCAGCCTCGGCACCTCTGGCCGCACCCAAGCGTCAGGCTACGGCCAGCATTCTTAGCCGCCGACAAAATAGCTGGGGGCAATCCCAGCCAACAGGGTGAATCCCGGACCGACCTGCCCACCAGAAACAGCGTACGGCCCACTCCATGCTTTGGCCGTATCACTGGGGCAAAGCAGCCCCACGCATCCGCGGTCCATCAACTCCGCCTAGTTCACACCGTGGCCGTCCAGACCCATCTTGGCCCAAGCAACGTGACCGTGTTGGCTGTTGCGAATCTCACGGCCTGGTGCTCCGGGCCGAGGGGATGTGCGTCAACACGTGACGTCCTTCTTTTGGATGCGGTGCGGTTGTGCGTCGAGATGATTATGAGGTTCGGGTAGAAGATGGTTAAATGTTGCGCCTGGTGAGTCGAACGCTGGACCAGTGGCTGCGTGTGGCGTAAAGGCGCTGACCAACCCAACCAAGTTTCCGCTTGCGTCAAAGACGAGCGACAAATACAATATAACCTGGTCTACCTGCCGCAGCTGTCATTTGAAAGATATGAGATCCCCTTCTACCAGCCCGAGCTCAGAGCCACAGGGGTCTCCTTTGTGAGACCCAGAAACCTTATTTCATCAGAAGGTTGCAATTGATTTGTTCTTCAAACAATGGGTCAGAGTTAAAAGCCAAAGAAGGAGCGAAGCTTGTCAGTTGCTGGGCATGAGTGGGTGCTAGGCCGGATGCTCGGAAAATGGGGATTTGGGGTTGGCGTATTTGAGTTGGGTCAAAGAACCCCAAATCTGCTCAGATGCCTTACCCCCAATTTTCGCAGTGAAATCGACATTTTACGAGCTAGTGGCGGAGAATTCAATTCTTGGCACGTTCAGTAGCTGAAGGAGCCTGAGCTGAAGGTGTTGGATGCCTCTGGGTACATTCCTCTGTCTCAAACCTCTGCCAGCACCGTCACTAACGTCCACCTGCATCCATTGGTCCTCGATCTCATAGCACCCATGCCTTCCGATATCCATCCGAAGGTAAGAGTAATTCCAGAATTTGTCTTGGGTCCTTATCTGTAAAGATGTGTGATATGTAGAGATGTGTGTTCTTTGTCCCTGCAGGTACTCATAGTGGTGCTCGCTGTGTAAGGTCTGCGAATCCAAGAGAGATTCAAGGGAAAGGGCAATAAACACACAAGCGCAAAGGACAAAACAGCAAAAAGCCTGAGGACCCCCAATCCGTGCACCTCAGGTATAATTTCGAATCCCTGCAAATGTTGTTGTTGGAAATTTGGTAGACTTGAGGACCCCCAGTCCTATATTGGAAATATAATTCAAAGTATCAAAATTCTTCCAAAATATTAACCAAAATATACTAAGAATGAGGCTAAATATAATATAAAATCGACTCATCAGCGCCTGTTTTGCGTTCGACTCCTAATCAAACGATTGTGGTCGAGAGAGGAACTGATCTCGGCCGTCAGGTTCACGGCATGAGCTACAAGGCCGTTTAGTGGTGGTGTTGGTGGCGGGTTTTTAGGCGGTGCTCCGGTGCGTTGCTCAGAGAGCGACTGTCATATGATATATGGGGTGAGTGAGATGATAACAGAGATGGTGCTCTGGCACCTCGAAAATCAAGGTCGTATGATATATGATGAATGAATTTTCCTTACAACCTATCACTACTCCTAGGAAAGCAAATAAAGGTATTGAAAGTGCATTACAGGAAAATATAATTTGCTCTGTGGGAGGCTTTTGTTTGGTGTTTGAACCCTTTGAATGTAGTCCTGAGCTTAGTATTTATAGGAGGAGTCCTAGAGGGACAATCGAGGCTGAAAAGACCTGCATGGTGGAGCATGATCGGGGCAAGTGGGTAGTGAAATGGCATTTGGGATCGTGAAGCATGGTGGTTTAGGATCGTGAAGCATGGTGGTGTGACCCCCATAAATCTCGGTAAATCTCGGCCACGACCCTGATCGTGGGTTCTGCCCCCTTGGCCGTGGGAACGCATTTAATGCCCTGGCCTGGTGGTTGGTGATCTGACCTCAAGTCGTAAGATTACTTGTGAGAATGTCTGCGCCTAACCACCCTGATTTCACCAAATCCTGACTTCAGTCACTTCCCTCTTCCCTTGTGCATTAAATGCTTCTTGCGACTAGTGGGTTTGCTGCGAAAGTCAGAGGCATTACTTCATTAAATGGGGCGTGGGACCCTGAGGCCACGTGGCGATTTAACCACAGTTTCTTCGGCCGTGTCTTTTACGGCCTTCGGCTTCGGCCTTCAATACTGCGGTCGCAAGGCCGAGAGGATTCTGCCTTTGCAGCTTTTCTTTTGTTTTTAGGAAGGCGAAATGCTTAACGAAACGGTAGGCGCTAGGACCGCGAGGAAGTCCCTTCAATCAGTCTATAACCGTGATTTATTAGGCATAAACATTGCCCCCCACATCCCTGGATTCTTCGATCGCGGCCTGGGCAGAGGCTGAAAGGATTCCAAGGGATGGACCCTTTGCATTCCTCCGAAAGTGATTGACAGCTGGCGCTTTAAATGCGTAGGTCAGTCAGCGCATTAAATGCGCAAGCACGTCTTGCAGGCCATCATTGCGCAAACTTGCGCGAGCCGTCGTTTCGTCTCGTCAAGCGAAGCGACGGCCTCTGGGCTTTCGACACGTCATCGTGCTTCTTGAGCACGCTGTCAGGCCGTTACGCCTCTTGAGAGAGCCACGCCCTTTCGTTTCGAATTCTAGCGCCAATATAAAAGCCTGTTCTCTTCATTCATTCCTTACGCTTTCATAATTTTAGACGCCTAAACTCTGCCAAACTCTTCTCTCGATTCTTCAACCCTTTCGAACTTCACATTTCGACACTCCACCTCTTTCACCCAGTTATTCCCTTTGTTAGTAACCAACGACTTCAGTCGCTTCTTCTGTATTTCTCGAAACTCTCGAACTCTTCGTCCCTTTTTCTAAGTGCTGGCTCCTGGTGTTCTTCGTGTTCATCACCCTTCCTTCGACTTTTTCCTTCAACATACCCTACTTTAATCTATTCAATGGCCTCCAGCACCTCTACATCTGTTGAAGCTCGGTCCCAAGTCTTCCAGACTGAGTTTGAAGACATTTGCAGAGAAATCCAGGGCTCGGTCTTACCCAACATCGTCACACCTTGGACTGATGACGATGGCGCCGCCACCGATTCCTGCGTCCTCAGCCCCTCTGTAGATGGCGGGATGCCAGAGAGGCTGGTGGCTCATTTGAAGAACAATTTGGTGGACCTCTCGGCCTTTGACGGGGGGGGACTTCCAAGATTGGAATGTCGCCAGGCCGCAACCCCAATGGCCAACCTCGACCCCGGACTGGGAAAAATGGTTGCCGAGGATGGAGCACTTCTTCGGCCAGCAATGGAAGGATCAAGGCATCTACCACTTGATCAAGCTATTCGATCGGCCGCTCGTCATGGACCGGTCGCTCTTGGCCGCGACCCTATGCTTCTGGTCGTCGGCCACAAATCCTATGAACCTCCGGTTTGGCATGATGACGCCGACCGTTCTAGACATGGCCGCCCTATTCGGCCTCTCCCCTCTTGGCGTGGACGTAAACGCCGCTCTGGTGGCCCCTGAGGCTGAAGGGAGTTTTAAGGCCGCATGGCCTACGGTCGCCAAGCTTGCTGGGAGTAAGGCGAAGAACATGCTCAACTATTCCAGCTTCTACAGCAACTTCGGCGTGGAGGACAGCGCCGATGATGATCCATCGCTCCCTTGGGCGAGGTCGAGCATGCCGCGTTCTTGCTGTACTGGCTATGTAAGTTCGTGTTTTGCACCCAGGCGAACAAAGTCACCTTGGAGTTCGCCCACCAGGCCGACTATCTCGCGCAGGGCGGAAGGCTAGCACTCGGCCCATTTCTCCTTGGTCATATCTACCGCATGCTTCATGACGTCGTCACGGATGGGATGAAGCCGAAGCACGGTGGTCCACTATGGGCCTTCCAGTTCTGGCTGCAAGCTTACTTCCCAGAGCTGAGGGGAGCGACCAATATTGCCGACATCGAGCCGTTGGCCAACGCATTCGCCCGGGCCCCCAGGAAGCATAACACCTCGACTTTCTGCTATAAATTTTCTACGGCTTGGTCGAGAGGACCGGGTTGCAGTTCCGGTGTGCCTTGCTCAGCCGTACCCTTTGTTCCTGGCGCACGACCTCTCCGTGATTCTTGACGGCGAAACGGAGAACGATCTGAAGGAGATCTGGGGCTCCTTCCTGGTCATGCGTGACCTTCACTGTGGCCTGTCCAAGGCTGGGGCCGAGGTTTATCTGCCGAACTTCGTGGCGCGGCAATTCGGCTTGATCCAAACGGCACCGCTTCCTCCGTTGTCAACCAACCGGCTCTCGTCTTGGAGGGCCGACGTCACCCAGCAGCACGGCGTGGCTGGCATTTCCTTCCAACTCTAAAAGGGGATGATGTTCCTCACTCTGATGCCTTGGTTGTGTCGTAATGCGTATGACGAGGATGGAAGAGTCTGGTACGAGGAGTGCATCTCGGCCAGATTCATTCGGCCTGTTGAAGAGGCTGTGAGGGGGTTATGAAGAATGCATATTGAGACCCCCTCATCCCCAAGGTTGGTAAGGGGAAGAAGGCCTCAGCCGTGCTTCCTCGACCGAGTACGCCGGCCGCGACCGTACCCAGGGTGGCGGCCCCTCTTTTGGTCAGAGCAGCGATCGCGACCTCAACCGCGGCCCCAACCCCCAGAGCGCCGGCTGCAATGGGGGTGCGAAAAACTTTGGCGCATAGGACCATGCCATCTGCCCCGTTGGCTCGGCTGATCGCTGTCGTTGGTAAGCCCTCTTTCTTTTTGTTTTCCCGTCGGCTTCTCTGAGCCACCAAGATCTTTATTTATTTGCTTCTTACCTATTTTACTTCTCCCTGTACACATAGCCCCGGGTCGCAAGAGGGATCGAGAGGCCTCAAGTACTGAGGCCGCGCTGGCCGAAAGTGTTGCTGTTGAGATGGCGGTGCTAGAGCGGCCGAGAAAAAAGGTCCTCCTTGTTCTTTCGGAGGCCGAGGACGAGGAAGAAATCCGTTCTATGATTGTGAGTGAAACCCCTCTCGTGACTGTAAGTACTCCTCGTTGATTTCTTTTTACCCCTTTTTTCAGGCCACGCCTTCCCCCTTTTTCTTTTCTGATAATCTGGTCCTTTCCTCAGGGCGAGGCAGTGGCCAAGGAGGCAGCTGCTGCCGAGGTAGTAGTTGGGGGGCGGCCACTGCCGAGGTGGCGGAAATGCTAGATGCCGAGGCAGCAGTCACAGAGGTGCCAGTCACTGCGGACGTGCCAGACGACGAGGTCCTTGCCGTGGACTCGACGAGGGCCACCCTAGTGGAAGTCCTTTTGGCCGCCTCTGTCGTGCCTACCTTGGCCATTACCGCATCCGTCGAGCCGTTGCCTGTCTCTTCGTGACGTCCTGGTGCTCCGGGCCAAGGGGATGTGCGTCCACACGTGACGTCCTTCTTTTGGATGCAGTGCAGTTGTGCGCGGGCTTGCTAGCATGGTCTACCGTGCGTCGAGATGATGATGAGGTTTGGGTAGAAGATGGTTAAATGTTGCGCCTGTTTTGCGTTTCGTCGGGCGCAACATGACCGTGATTTATTGGGCACAAACAAACCGTTGCTTCGTCATAGCAGTACGGTCAGAGCAATCCGACCGTTTCACCATACAGGCGTCGTTATTTCCGTCGGGCTCCCACCTTCAGTACGGTTCAGCCATTCCAACAGCAATGCATACGCACCCCAATCAAACCTACGACGCTTATCTAGTGCCGCCCGGCTCGGTCCCAACGGCCGTACCCCCCGTTCAAGTGGCCCAGCAGATAAGGCTGTAGAATGAGGGGCAACAAGTTTCGCGCTCGATTCCAAACCAGCAAGAAGCGCCCCCTCAGGGGCTCCGATTTGAAGACGTCCGGCGAATGATGGAGGACAGCTGGCTCAGAGGCGCCCGGAAGCGCCGAAGTATACCAAACCGTACCCGCCAAAAATTGACCGAACAACTCTTCCCCGTAACTATCGGTTGCCAGAATTCATTCTATTCTCCGGGGATAGGCAGACCTCCTCCATTGAACACATAGGCTGCTTCACGGCCCAGTGCGGAGATGCCGATTCGGACACCCAGAAGCTCCGTTTATTCGTTCACTCTCTGTCCGGTGCGGCGTTCTCATGGTTCATAAACCTTCCACTAAATTCGGTGAGGGATTGGTCTGACATGGAAAGGATATTCCACGAACATTTCTATCAGACCAACCGAGAAATAACGGTCGCTGAGCTGGCAACGGTTCAAAACGTGCAGGAACTGGTGCCGCACGAACCTACTGGAGAGGGAATTTGTCAAGATGGCCGAAGAAGGATTGGAATTCGAATACCGCGATGAAATTCCAGGGAATTGAATTCCGGGACATGCACGACTTGATCAACAAGGTGGACCGATACGCATCCTTGTTGAAAGAAGAGGTGCAGAAGAGGACGGCTTCAAAAGGGACTTACTATCGGAATCCCGTGGTCAGCTATGCCGAAGTAGACGGCCCCACAAAGGCCGAGAGCGACGAAGTTGAGATAAGCTCAGCCAAAGTTAGCATAGACAAACCATTCGTCTGCAAAGGACTTGTCAAGGCCAACAATAATCGCACAAAGATTCCCGACGCCATGTTTGCGTCTCGAGAAACGAAGGCCTACACTTTTGATTTGACTAGGGCCGAATCTATCTTTGACCTACTATTGACCGAGAAAAAGGTCAAATTGTCCTTCGGTCATAAAATTCCGAATCCCGAAGAGCTCAAAGGAAAGACGTTTTGCAAATACGACAGTTCTTGGTCTCACAACACCAACAACTGCGTTGTTCTACGAGACGTCATCCAGAAGTTGATAGACGAAAAGAAGCTCCAATTCTCGGAAAAGGCGGCTATGCAGGTCGACTCCAAGCCATTCCCTCCACCTGTCATCAACATGGTCAACGCTCAGCTCCGGGCCGAATATAGGGAAGTTCGTCGGCCAGCAAAAGGAAAGGAGGCGTTGGCCGAACTAGAGCCGGTACCGTGCAGTCGGTGCAAGTATGAGATCGGTCAGCTCAGACCGCCAGAGAACAAAAGAAAGGTCGCCGAGCCATCTCAACCGACTATGAAGAAATTCGACGGCCAGTACGACCATCGGCCAGCAAGCAGAGCTGTTTTCGACTGACTAGGGGCACGAAACCCCAGTACCTCGCTGGCCACAAAGACGAAGCCGCTCCTAGGCCGGTGAAGACTTTCAAACCATCGGTTGTACGGGATGACCGTTGGCATCATGCACGACCTGGAGGCAACACCGAACCGCTGACAAAAACCCAGCTGAGAAGGATGCAGAGACAAGTCCAGCATGCCAGGATACAGACGGCCCAGGTCAAGGGGTTAAAACGACAAAAAAAGATGACGACCGCAGACGAGCCACCATCCGTGCCAATCGTTCCCCCTACAGCGAGGGCTGCTAGCATCAAGCCCCTAAGGACGTGGCGCCTTAGGCAGGATGGTTATCCCCGCAGAATGATGGCTGTTTCAGTCGAGCCAAAGGCCGCGGCCCTGGAGAAAACAAATGAGGGTATCATTGACGTCTACCACGGAAGGGACCCCCCTTTTTCGGCCAACGGTCTGTCCTTTCTCATGGAATTCCATAAGGACCACTCGGCCATCGACCTATACGGCATGACCCCTGAGAACCGTGAAATCGTGGAGTTGGCTCTCAAAAACGATAAGGCAAAGAAGCTCCTCATTACAGGTGGATCCGACTCGGCCGTTAAGGCCGTATACCAGGCAAACCGAGTGGCCAGGGCAAGAGGGATGCTAGGTTACCGACCCGAGCAGGGAAGATTGGAGGCCAAGGCCCCTTTTAGCAGAAGCAATTTAGAATACCTCCGCTAATACTATATTTGGTCTGACAACCGAGGAAAGGGCCCGGGTAAGCCGTCTGGATGACTACTTAACGGCCAGGGATGTGTTAGCTAAGGCTAGACAATCCCTCGAGGAGGAGATCGAGGCCTCGGACCCCCCCTAAGATCAAAGCGTCCACATACAATACCCCTGGGACTGCAAGGCCTATGGTTGAGGGCCCCGGCGACCTTTTCTTTGGACACGAGGCCGAGGACGACTCCACATTGGGAATCTCCGATGAGGAATACGAGGGGATCCTGGGGATGGTTGAGGGAAAACCTTCACTAGTGGCGGCTGTGAGGCCAAAGAGGAAGCTGGTGGGGGAAACCAGCAGGAGCCAAAGGAGGTCAGCATGAACATGGTCTTGGTGCTACCGTTCGAGTTTTCACCCCAGGAGCCAGACTAACGGCCTGGATAATGACGTGGCCGAGGAGCAGCTTGATCAAAAGCCAAAAATAAAGGAAAAGTTGTTGGCCGTGGCTTTTAACAAGGTAATACCCAGAGATGAGCCAAACAAATACCGATACCTCAAGCCGTTGTACATCTCGGCTCATGTAGAGGGTGTGCCCGTGTCCAATGTCTTCATTGACTGTGGGGCGACGGTCAACATCCTTCCCTATTCCCTAATGAAGAAGCTGGATAAGTCAAAGGAGGACCTTATCCCCAGCGACGTGGTCATGAGCGATAAATCTAAAACCATCGGGGTATTGCCGTTGAAAATCACCGTGGCCGACCAGACCAGAGTCGCGGCCTTCTACGTAGTCGAATCCAGTGTGGACTACAATATATTGCTCGATCGTGACTGGATCCATCAGTCCAGATGCTGTTGAGGCCCAAAATATTCACGGTTCGGCCCAAATAAATTCTCGGCCCAATGCGATGCTTTACCAAGAAGAAACCCGATTTGGGCATGCGAAAGTTCATCATATGCGCTTGCACACATGCCACGCCAAACGACACGCCACGCTAAGCAAGGAATTATCATTCCGCATCTAATCACGCCACAAGCTTAAGTGGGCCCCAAGCCACTCAAATACCCGGGGCTTGCTTGAGTGGGTTGTGGCATGGACGGTAATAAATCAACATGAGGCCCATTGATGGGCCAGAAAAATGGAAAGTCTCGGGTTGCTTGGGAGCCTCGAGACTCAAGCCCATTTCTTAGGCCCAAACATATGGGTAAGCACAAGAGAGAAAAGCAGCCCAAAGGCCCAAGCAAAATAACCTAACCAAGAAATAACCCAACCAAAAAAATAACCCCAATCAAGAGGCCCAATGTTTCACAAAAAGCCCATTTGCTTAGAAAGCCATCTTGGCCCTTAGAAAAACCCAAAATAGCCCACAAGAGCTTCAGCTCTTTTGAAAAACAGAGAACACGTGAAGGAGGAGGTTGGCAGACTCATCAAGCAAAGCTGCTGGGAGCAAGTTCCAAGCCAGAGACGCCCAAAGAACCAAGGAATGCTGGCCTGCACCCTGTCAAAAGCACCCCTTGGACCAGCATATATTTTCACTTCTTTTCCTTCATCAGATTCAGCCAAGGAAGAGGAAAGGAAAGAAGAAAAAACAGCAAACCAAGAGTGGAAGCTCCCACTGCACAGCTGCGGGAAAGAAGGATGTTGAGCCCCCAAATCCCCTGAATTCATGTAAATAGACAGAAGCAATCTTTGCCAAGAAAGGGAAGTCAGAGAAGAGGAGGAGAAAGGAAGAAAAAACTTAGCCAAAATAAGTAGAAGCCATTAGGGTTTCTTGAAAAATGGTGATTTCCAGCAGCTATAAATTGAACCTTCCCCTACCCAACAGAGACAACCCACAACCTGCAGAGAGCAAGCTTTCTCTATAACTTGCAAAAACTCAACAAACTCGTGCACTGTTCATCTTCTTCTCCAATTTGTTTTTCTGGCAGCTGCCAGAAGAACTCTGCCTTTCTTTTTCCTCTTTCCCTAGTCGAATTCCTCACAAAACACCTCATTCCATACTTAAACACTTTCTTTTCTCATAAACCAAGCCTAATTTCTCTCTTAGTGCTAAACCCATGTTGATTTTGCTCCCATGCCACATGCCACTCATGCTGAGCTGAAAAGACCATCTGTAAGCATGCCAAAACTATCTGCAGGTCACCATTATTCTCGTTGGTGAACATTATCCAAAATATCTCCTAAGGTTTTGCTGCCCTTTCGAGGTATTTTGGGGCTTAATTTTCGAACCTAAACAAAAGGGGGCAATCTCCTCAGTCTGCCTTTTGCAGCAGCCCAGCCCATTAGCTGCAGGAAGAAAAAGTCCCCTACCGCTGCATACCATCCTCCCTCTTCCAATTGTTATTCTTTTGGGATGGCCAGAAGGTATCCATACACCTGGCCGACGAAAAACCTTTCGAAACCAACGCTGTGCAAGCACAGATTTACGACGACGACGTCGGTTGGGTTGTCCTCACCGGCCACGATGCGAGCGGCCGACCAACTAGGACAACGGCTCAGAAAGTGCTGGAGTTGGGTGCCGAGAATGTTGACAGGATTCGGCGTGCGAAGTATTGATTGACCTCACTAGCCTTTAGATGACAGACAAAGCTACTAAAGAAGAGGGAACGACGACCGTGACCGACCTGCTGGAAAGACTGCTGGAACATTGGGTAGAGGAATCCTTACAGCCAAACTCGCGGATCAACCTAATCGAATTCCTCCACGAATCAGATGAGGCGGACACTTTAGCCTTTGACGACTTGGAGACCGCGCCCGCCGAGATGGAGGATGACTACCCCGAGGTCCAGGACCCGTTATTAGAAATAAATGTAGGGACCGAGCCAGAACCACGGCCTCTTTTTGTAAGCCAGCTTTTGAACCCTGAATTAGCAGCCGAGATTATCAGTATGCTCTATGAATATAAGGATTTTTTCGCTTGGGATTATCATGAGAAGCCTGGATTGCCAAGAAGTTTGGTCGAGCACGAACTAAAGATTAGGGAGGGGTTTAGGCCTTTCCAACGGTCGCCGAGGCGATTCTCGACCGAAGTACAACTTAAGGTCAAAGAGGAAATTGAACGGCTCCTTAAAGCCGGCTTCATCCGCATGGCTAGGTACATTGAATGGTTGGCTAACATCGACCAGTTTTGAAAAAGACTGGGGCTTTGAGGGTTTGCATCGACTACAGAAATCTAAACCTCGCGACCCCCAAGGACGAGTATCCCATGCCTATGTCTGACCTCCTGGTGGACGGAGCCGCGAAGCACAAGCTCTTGTCTTTCATGGACGGCCACGCTGGTTACAACCAAATCTTCATTGCCAAGGAAGATGTCCACAAAACGGCGTTCAGATGTCCAGGCGCAATCGGGACTTATGAATGGGTAGTCATGCCATTTGGCCTGAAGAACGCCTGCGCAACGTACCAACGAGCTATGAACCTTATCTTCCACGACCTAATTGGCCGAACCGTTGAAGTCTACATCGACGACGTTGTTGTAAAATCCCCATCCAAAGCCGACCACGTGGTGCATCTCCGACAGGCTTTCGATCGAATGCGGGCACACGGCCTAAAGATGAACCCTAAGAAATATGCTTTCGGCGTCACCGCCGGGAACTTTCTCGGTTTCTCGGTTCACCAACGAGGGATCAAGGTAGATAAAAATAAAGCCACTGCCATTATGGCAGCACCCCCGCCAAGGACCAAGAAGGAACTCCAGTCCTTCCTTGGTAAGGTCAACTTTTTAAGACGGTTCATATCCAATTTGGCAGGGAAAATCTGGCCGTTAACTCCTCTGCTCAAACTGAAAGACACGGAACGGTTCGTGTGGGGGGGCAGAACATCAAGTGGCCCTCGACGACATCAAGAAATATTTATCTCAACCACCGGTCCTTATGCCGCCGAAAAGAGGGAAACCCTTGAGGCTTTACATTTTGGCTTCAGTGGGCTCTATTGGTTGTCTGCTGGCTCAGAACAACGAGTCTGAGCGAGAACAAGCAGTGCACTATCTGAGCCGCACCCTTAACATGGCCGAGCTAAACTATTCACCGATCGAGAAATTATGCTTGGCACTTTATTTCGCGGCCACCAAGTTGCGCTATTATCTACTTCTTTCGGTCGTTCAGATCATCTCCAAGACCGACCTCGTCAAATACATGCTCACTCGGCTGATCATACGCGGCCAAATCGGGAAGTGGACGATGGCGTTGTCCGAATTCTCCTTCCAATATGTGGTTCAGAAGTAGGTCAAAGAAGAAGAGATGGAGGTCGAGATCGGCATGGCCCGCATGGAGAAGAACTACTGGACCATGTACTTCGATGGCTCCAGTACTGAGACTAGATCTGGGGCCGGGGTCGTGATCGAGTCCCCCCAAGGACAAAGGTGGCAGTTTGCATTCCAGCTTGATTTCAAATGCACCAATAATTAGGCCGAATATGAAGCACTCATCATCGGTCTTGAAATTCTAAAAGAAATGAAGGCGACCCGTGTCCTGGTCTACGGTGATTCTCAGCTGGTAATTAACCAACTGACCGGGGAATACCAGTGCACGAGCGAGAATTTAACCATGTATTATGTAACGGCCCTCAATACGGCTGACGAATTTTCTAGGATCTCCTTCGTTCACGTGCACGCACCGAAAACCATGAGGCCAATGAGATGGCCCAGGTAGCGTCAGGTGTGAATATTCTGGACAGCGACCACGACCACGTGATCAGAATCGAGAGGCGTACCCTGCCGGCTTTGGCCGAGCGAGGAATGACGACGCAAGTATCATCGGCCGAAATTACCAACGAGGTCGAAACGGCCGAAGCTGACTGGCGCTACCCCATAGTAAAGTATCTGCGCGACCCCTTCGGCAACCATGAAAGGACTACTCGTTTCCGAGCTCGGTGTTATTTGATTTATCAGAACGAGTTGTATCAAAAAGGATTAGACAGCTTATTGCTCCTATGCCCCAGCGCCGAAGATATTAAGGTTATCATGACCGAATCCCACGAAGGGATTTGCGGCCCTCACCAGTCTGGCGTCAAGATGAGATGGTTGGTCCGGAGGCACGGTTATTGTTGGCCGACCATTTTAAAGAACTACATAGAATACGCGAAAGGGTGTATCAAGTGTCAAATCTACGGCCCCATACAAAGGGTACCAGCTGAAGCCCTCCACCCGGTCACTAAACCATGGCCGTTCAGAGGATGGGCCGTGGATATCATCAGCAAAATTTACCCAGCCGCGTCCAACCAGCACGCCTGGATTTTGATGGCAACTGACTATTTCACTAAATGGGTCGAGGCGGAGTCCTATCGGTCCATTTCTAGCACGCAGGTGGTCAGATTCTTTGAAAATCACATTGTCTACAGATTCAGTATACCCGAAACCATCACAGCCGATAACGGCCCAGTTTTTGCATCAGCCGAGACTCGAGAATACGCCGAAAGGATGGGGATCAAATTGGTCCACTCGACACCATACTACCCATAGTCTAACGGACAGGCCGAGGCGAGCAACAAGGTAATCAAGGGCATCCTCGAGAAAATGATTGAGGAAAAACCTAGGGCGTGGCACGACTTACTCCCTGAAGCCCTTTGGGCTTACCGAATCTCAAAACGATCGGCTACTAGCACATCCCCTTATGCCTTAACCTACGGCCATGACGCCATTGTTCCGATAGAACTAAAGGTTCGGTCTCTCCGTGTGACCGAACGACCTGGGCAGGAAGAGAAGGACTATGCGCAAGCCATGGCTCAGGAGTTAGAAGATTTGGAGCAATCCAGACTAGATGCTTATAACCTAATGCAGGCACGAAAGCAGATCGCGGCGAGGTCCTGCAACAGGAAGGTAAAGCAAAAGACTTTCATCGAAGGCAACTTGGTATGGCGTGCCGAGCTTCCTATCGGGACTAAGGACCCTTGGTTCGGCAAATTCTCACCCAATTGGGAAGGGCCGTTTATTATCGAACGAATTCTTGGCCGAGGTGCATTGCAGTTGAGAGATAGGGATGGAGAATGGCACAACTTGCCAATAAACGGTTAGTATTTGAAGAAAAATACCCCGTCATTATGGGAGACTGCTGAGAATGGGTTATGAGGTTTACAATCGACAAAGATGAAAGAAAAACATACATTCGGTCAAAAGAGAAAAAGGGGGTTATACTTCATTTAGATTAAAAAGAAAGGGGTCGCGGTTACAAAAGAACGGCCGGTCATGGCCGAATGAAACATATAAACATATATGTGCGAAAAATAGAGTACATACTAAATCTATGAACGACCGCTTCTTGATCCCCTCGCTGGAGCAGGCAGATGTTTCTTCCCTAGGCGGTGCCTACACCGCCCAGATCTTCACTGACCGCAGCCATGGCCTAGGCCGTCACTCTGGACATGGGTGAAACCGGGTTGAGGCCAAGGCCGTCACCCAGGCCATGGCCGAGGCCGTCACTCAGGACACGGGTGTAGCCGGCTAAAGTCAGGGCCGTCATTCTGACCATGGGCGAGGCCGTCACTCTGGGCATGGGTGAAACCGGGTTGCAATCAGGGCCGTCACTCCGGTCATGGCCAGGGCCGTCATTCTGGGCACAACTGTGGCTGGGTGAAGCCAGGACCGTCACTCCGACCATGGGTGCAACCGAGGTGCTAAGCCAAACAGACGTGGCCAAGTTGTAATCATCATACCAGGCCCTCCCATCTTCATCAATCGCATTACAGTTTCTCCACAGCCTCATAAGGAGGAAGGTCATCCTCCCCCAGGGACCGGAAAGAATCTTGGCCACACCATGGCCTTGGCCCACGTCGACTTTCCAAGACGAAGGATAGTTGGTGGACAGCAGGAGAGGAAAAACCATCTGGATCAGGCCACGATGCGAGGATCGGCGAATATGGCTCAACCTCGGTTTTGGAAAAGCTACAGGGGGGCCATCAGAGTAGGTTAGAATGGAGGGAACCGAGCACTCAGAAAAAGGGGTGAAGAGTTCAACGAGATGGAGTGCTGAGATTTGGGGTTTTAGAAGGGTTGATGGATTGATGAAATGGTTCGGCAGAGTTTGGGCGTTTGAGGATTCTGGAAGCGTAAAGAAAAATGAAGAAGGCAAGGCTTTTTATATTGGTGCTAGGATTCGAAACGAAAGGGCATGGCTCTCTCGAGAGACGTAACTGTCTGACAGTGTGCTCGCGTGCGCGATGACGTGTCGGAAGCCCAGAAGCCGTCGTTTCATTTAACGAGACGAAATGACGGCTCGCGCAAGTTTGGGCAATGATGGCCTGCAAGACGTGGTTGCTCATTAAATGCGCCGACCAACCTACACATTTAAGGCGCCAGCTGTCAATCACTTCAGGAGGAATGCAAAGGGTCCATCCCTTGGAATCTTTTCGGCCTCTGCCCAGGCCATGACCGAAGAATCCAGGGATGTGGGGGCAATGTTTGTGCCTAATAAATCACGGTCATAAACTGACCGAAGGGACCTCCTCTCGGCCCTAGCACCTACTCATGAACTGAAACGGCTACGTTTCGTTAGGCATTTCGCAGAATCCTCTCGGCCTCGCGACCGCGGTATTATGGGCCAAAGCCGAAGGCCGTAAAAGACACGGTCGAAGATACTGTGGTTAAATCACCCTGTGGACTTAGGGTCCCACGCCTCATTTAATGAAGTAATGCCTCTGACTATCGCAGCAAACCCACTAGTCGCAAGAAGCATTTAATGCCCGAGGAAAGAGGGGAAGTGACTGAAGTCAGGATTTGGTGAGGGAAATCAGAGTGGTTAGGCGCAAATATTCTCACAAGTAATCTTACAATTTGAGGTCAGATCACCAACCACCAGACCAGGGTATTAAATGCGTTCCCACGGCTAATGGGGCAAAACCCACGATCAGGGCAGTGGCCAAGATTTACCAGGATTTATGGGGGTCACACCACCATGCTTCACGATCCCAAATGCCGATTTGACTACCCACTTGCCCTGATCAAGCTCCACCACGCAGGTCTTTTCGGCCTCGATTGTCCCTCCAGGACTCCTATAAATACGAAGCTCAAGACTACATTCAAAGGGTTCAAACACCAAACCAAAAACCTCCCACGAAGCAAACTTTATTTTCCTGTAATGCACTTTCAATACCTTTATTTGCTTTCCTAGGAGTAGTGGTAGATTGTAAGGAAAATCCATTCATCAATATATCATACGACCCTTGATTTTCAAGGCGCCGGAGCTCCATCTCTATTGTCATCTCATTCACCCCATATATCATACGACCGTCGCTCTCTGAGCAACGCGCCGGAGCATCGCCTAAAACCCGCCACCAACACCACCACTAAACGGCCTTGTAGCTCAGGCCGTGAACCTGACGGTCGAGATCAGTTCCTCTCTCGGCCATAATCGTTTGATTAGGAGTCAAACTCAAAACAGGCGCATCATTTAACCATCTTATACCCAAATCTCATCACCATCTCGACGCACGGTAGACCGTGCTGGCACGCCCGCGCACAACCGCACCGCATCCAAAAGAAGGACGTCACGTGTTAACGCACTTCCCCGCGGCCCGGAGCACCAGGCCATAAGATTTGCGCAGCCAACAGGCTCCGGCCACCTAGTCTCTCGTATCGTAGAGAAAACTCCGACCACTTTAGCTATTGTCGTATCTTTTTCAAGGTCAAATCGAACTAACTTAGGAATCGGAGGGCCTTTGGCTAACTCCTTCTCGAGTGTGGTCTATTTACTCCAACCTTTTTCATAGGGATCGAGGGAGAAGAAAGAGGAGGAAGTTTGAGGGTAAAAGAATCTACATGCGAATATTCCCTGTGCGGAATTTTGCTCAAACATTTTGCTGCTTTGATTGAGAACACGAGTTATACTCAACACATGCTCTTGAATAAAAGGAATCCGTTTCCTCCTATTGATCACTCAACCAAGGCCTTCCAAACAACTGTGGTTTGAAGCATGTACATTTGAAACAAGGCCGCCGCGATGAAGTAATCCGCGAAGCGCCAAAGCTATACGTTCGCAATCTTGCGACTGAGACCGTGGCTCCACCTCACGGCCCCGTGGCTGCCACATGGCCGTGCTGCCGGATCTGAGGCTCATCACCACGATGAAGCCTCAGTGCACGGTTTAGCCACCACTTGTGGCCATCTTGGCGTTGCCGCCAATTATGGCCTGATCTTGGAACAACTCCATCCGTTGGCGTTGCCACCAATTGCTCCCTACACCTCCAACGAATAGGCCGCGTGCAATTGGGCTCTACACAATTCTCTCCTCCAGATCCAAGCAGTCAAGCATACCTTAACCTTAGAGTAGACTAGCTCGCTCAAAGAGTAGAAGACCAAAACAACTTGGTTGGGCAACTCTTCATGCAGATCAATTTGGTCTAAGACCTAGGCACTGGATCCCATGTTGAAGAGAGAAGGATGGAAGAGCGGACATGCAAGGAGTTTGAAAATCCCATGCAGGTCAGGCAGGAGCAAGCAGGTAAGGATGAGGACAAGAGTGCATTACCCAGCATGTTGGCATGTCACAAGCATCCGCGAGCCCCACTCAAAGTAGATCAAGTCTTTGATCAGGATTAGGTCCAAGGACAAACGTGCACGTGAGGTTGGGCCCACGATCTGATGTTCACGCTCTCTTGGGTCCGCAAAGAAGTATTCATACGAGAATAGGCTCCCAAGGAGGTTAGCCTCACAATCCCTTTTATGAAGTACATGAAGAAAGATGCTCACCTACTTGCTCCACAAGAGCAAATTCTCAGCGATAAGCCACAGAGGATCCCTCGCAGGCTCAGTCCACCAATACGCCTCGCAAGCAAGATAGTCGAGAAGTTAGATCAATGACGCCAACGTCATGGGAGACATCGACGTGATTCACAAGCCATGTAGGCAGAAGATGTTGAGAATCTGGTGAATGATCAACTTCGAGGCTTGAAGATTAAAGGAGATTTTGAAGATGATTCGTGCAAGGAGGTAGACCAAGTGAATTGTGAGAATCCGTATTCTTAAAAGTTTTTAAAAAAGAGGATTAAACGTTTATATATATATATGTATTATTTTACGTTTATAGTACTATTCTAATAATTATTTGTATTTCGTAAATATATATATATGTGTGTGTGTGTGTTCATTTGAAATAACTATAAATTATATATTTATTATTTGTTTTTCTCTAAATGAGTACCCTTAGATATTTAGGTTTTTTAGGTTTTAGACATAAAAAATTTTCACTTTTGGAAAAAGCCAAAGCTTTTTCCAAAAAGATAAAAAAACCGCTCAACTTTCACTCAAAGACATACAAATGTATTGGATTCCTTAGGAAATCTAAAAATAAATAAGGGCATTTTTGTCCATTTTTGCTTCTTTTAAAATTTTTCTCTCTCCTTTTGCTTTTTCCAAAATGTCCCTAGATATTCTTGGGTATTTAACTTATATAATTGTATATATTTATAATAATATTCAATTGTTAGAATTGTGTTATTCACCTCCTGACAAACTCCTCCAAGTAAAGAATTGACAAAAACATTCTCTTTGTGAAGACCTGTATTTTTAAAAGTATATGTATTTAAATTTTGAGAATTAAATATTTTACTACATATTTAGTTATACATTTGAATTGATTATATATATATATTGGTTATATTTATGTGTGTAATTATCTTGGTACGTATATGTAAATATTGTTGTTATACTTTTATGTTAATTATTATGAATACTATTATAATAATACTTATATATTTCTATGTTTATGATAATATTTAGTTTCTTTGATTATTAAACAAATATATAAAGAGTTTGTTATCCATATGTCGTCCACTATATGCATGCTAAATGGCTATGTTCAAAAGTGAAGTAATCCTATTGCATTTGCAACACCTTCAACACCTGCTGCTATTACATTTTATACCTGGTAGTCTTACATTCATTACATGCATTATCACCTTGAGTTCATCTATTTACCTTGCAGAGCATGAGACAGATCATGCTATAATTACGGGTTGTTGGCAGCCTTTTCTTGTTAATATCATGCCAAATTGATAACATGCTATTTTATTAGCCGTCATAAGTTCATAGCAACCGACTTCCCCTTAATATAAATAGGGCATTCTACAATTGAAATAAGAGTAAGAAAAGAGTAGCTTGTGTTTTCTTAAACTTTGAGCTAGCTTTGGAATCGAGGTAAGAGTTTCTTGGGGGCCCTTTACAGAGATTGATTTAATTAAATTTCGTGAGCATTATATTATGCATGGTATTATAGTTTGGTAGACGTTCCTTATTATTGGGTGTTTACATATTCTTTAACTATTTGAACAATGTTGGCATAATTATATATGCATTGGTGATATTTTAAATGGTTACATTGTTGTGAGATATATAGGATATGTGAAAGGCATGGTTATATCATGTCATGGAAATTAGTTGGATTGAGAAAATAATGGAAAAAGAAGGTAATGGATATAATCTTTTGTGTAGTTAAGTCTAACTCTTGGTAGGTACCAGATCTCAGGGATCCCACAGTGCACATGATTTTTATTGGGTAATACGGGACTGACGACAATGAGTTAAACAAGATGACTAACAAAAGGGGATTTATGGGATGATTGAGATGGGGGGGTTATTTCATATAAATGGGCATTTGATGTAACATCCATGACCAAATTTAATCGATTTAATCTAATTTAATTCTTTTGTGAAATTACAATTTTGCCCTTAGGCTTGGGAGTAGGGGTACTTTGGTCACTTTTTAGTCCATAAGGATTTTGGGGAAATGAGTGGCAATGTTGCGTAGAGCTCGCTCTCACGAGTTCGTAGACACGTAGTGGGACCAAATCGAAGTTTTAACAAAGAAGTTATGGTCAACGGAAGTGTAGTGGCACAACCGTAAATATTTCAAAGTTGGATTTTTAAAATAGACCACTCTCTCTCTCTCTCTCTCCCCTCCATCTCTCCCTAACACACTCTCTTTACGATCGCAATAGCAATTTTTGACGGCGATTTCGTCGCTGTCCAGTGTCCGATTCGGTTGCAAAAGTTTGTATCGATGTCGTCTATCTAACCCACCCATTTTCCTAGCTCAAAAACCCAAGGAAATTAAATTGGAACGACTGGAAGTTTGGGTGATTTTCGAAGTTTTCGACGCCCTTTCCGGTGACTTCGACTGTTATTTTAATCGAGTAAGGTATGAAACTTCATCTACTCTTTGTGATCTATCCGTTTATGTAGGTATTGTAGATCCATTTTGAGGTTTTACAAATAATTCAATATACCCATATTAGGCCGATGGTTTGACAGTGATTTCACCTAGCTCCAGTCACGTTTTGGCCATGGTCCGAGAACAAAAAGTGTTCCCCTTGTTTGTCTGACCGTATCGGTATAGGTATTGTAGGTGTTTCATGAATTTTTCCGTCATCGAAATTTTCTCAAGCCACCCCACGCTCTGCCAGGGCGTGTGGCAGTGCGTGGGCCATGGTGTGGTGGCCCATTATGTTCAGATTTGATCCCTATGTCGTCCCAAGCGCGACGGTATGCTCGAATTAAAATTTGGTTGTCATATGACAGTCGAATAGATTTACGCCTATTAGGCGATATCTGGGTTTGATAGGTTCAGACCATTCGATTGGTCCTATTTTCTAATATATTATTCCTCATACTTCTAAGAACGTGTAAGAACTTGTGGATCGAGAATCGGAGTCTCGGATACTCCGAATCAATGAGTCTAGTGTTAGGCGAAGCGATCGCCATCCGATCATGTGATTGGCTTAAATCCGACCACTCAATCAAGACCAAACTTGCAGGACTTGTTTTGTGACTGTGTTGGACCTATAGGAACTTTTGGATTAGAAATCAAAGGTCGTGGGCCCCGGTTGACCAATATGGGAAGTTTGACCACTCGGTTGACCGTGAGTCTTCTGAGGTAGTTTCACCTTTCGAAAAGTATTAGATTGACCTTAAGAACTCCCCGATTCTCATGCATGTGCACTTTGAGACCCGGGAACTAAAGTCTTGAGTTAAAGTTCGTTGTTGGAGTATACATATTAATTATGAGTAATGCTACACTTACCACATTTCTATACCACATGATGTGGCATGTCCATATTATATGCCACATCAATTAAATGAATGAAGTGTATGTTAATAAATAAAATTAAAAAAACAGAAACTATTATTTTACATGATGTGGTGTGTACACATCAGCTGCCACATCATGTGGTAGAAAACTGTGGTATAAAAATGTGGTAAGACTAGTATTATTCATTAATTAAGCCATTTTATTCTCTCAAATAAGTACTCTTGCTTCACGTACTCTTGTGAGTGGACTTTGTTTTTTAAACGATCATTAATTTCAAAGATGGATGGCCTTGCATTTATATAAATTCGATTATTTTGACTATTAAGATTATGAAATTATATTGTGTTTTAATATTGGATTATAATGCATTATGGAAATTGCATGTGTAAACAAGTGTTGGTTATTATTTGAATTATTTTGGGTCTTGTTGGGATTTTGAGATTTTAATAGTGTTTTAATTGTGGGATTATTGGGTTATATTATGATATTTGAAGTTTGTGAATATATTGAGGTTATGGAATTTGTTAACGGGCTGGTATTGGCTTTTGCTATGCGTTATGAGATTTCTTGCGAGTATTATCATTATGAAGTATATGAATTTAGGATTCAAACTGTGGTAATATTGGGGTTAGTTTGTTGTATGTTTATATTTAGGAAATTGTTAATAGTTATTGTTACATAAATGGTTGTTATATCGCGGTAGTGTTATCTAGTATTTATGAATGATTTAGCCTATCGTTTATATTTCCAAGTTTGAGGTAGTTATATTTTTGTATCATTTAGTTTATGGCTTTGGAGGATTGTGCAGGTATGGTCTGAATCAAATCAATGAGTTTTCGGATTGGTCTCTGTTTAAAAAGGGATTTGTTTATTTACTTATGAGCGGATCTTTGGAAAGTCGAGAAAGGAGTGGGAACATAGTTTTGGGGAAGTGGGTTTGTGGAAAAAGGGGAATTTTTATGACAATTTTGAGAAAGGTTTTGGGAATTGGGCGTTGCCTTCGGTAAAGTCCGTGCACATGACTAGAATTGCCTGTACCTACATAGTTATTACTCTGGAGGTGTCCGACCAATATTTTGCTTGTACCTGTGTCTACTACGTGGGTGTCCGGCCAGTGGTTTGCCTGTGCCCACTTATGTGGGTGTCCGGCCAGTGGATATTGCCTGTACCTACATAAAGATTACTTTGTAGGTGTCTGGCTAGTGATTTGCCTATACCTGCATTATGATTACTCTGCAGCTGTCCGACCAGGATTTCCCCCAACTACCAGCCCGATTTGTCTGCATGAGTGGTTGGACAGTTTTTCCCTCCTCGGTTGCCCCCAGTGGTTTGCCTGTACCTATATGGAGATTACTATGTAGGTGTCTGGCCAATGTATTCCCTGTACCTACATTGAGTTTACTCTACAGGTGTCCGGCCGGGATCTTTCCCTAGCCACCTGCCCAATTTGTCTGCACAGGTGGTTGGCCAATTTTTCCTCCATCACCCGGTTGCATTCGAAAAATATATACATATATATTGGTTGCCTTTAGAATTATATTGTTGCTTTCAGATGAAATTATTTTGTTGCATTCGGAAAATATATCGGTTGCCTTCAGATGAAACTATGTGTTCCATATACCCCTTGGTGGGTGATAGCAGGATATGTGCTATGCGGATGGTTATATGTATGGTTTTAGGTAAAATGTTTGATTTGAGAGTTATGGATTTTGGATTTGGTTTGTGTTGTAATAATAAATTAAAGAATTTAAGAGTCGAGTTATAAACGTAAGATTGTTTCAACATTATATTATATTTTAGGAATTGAAATTTTTAGGGAAAGAACTATGTGTGGCTTGATCTCTCAGTAAGGGTACATAGGCAACCTAGGTTAACCTAGGTGCAGCCGCAAAATAAACAATTGAGTTATGCTTTGGAATTTTGTGGCTATTTTAAAGTAAAAAACAAATTCGTAGACTACGTTGACTTTGCCTTGGTAAGGTTGAAGTTAAGACCGGAGGCCTATTTTGTAATCTGTGTGCTGTTGCTTTGTGTTTGCTGGCAGTTGGTATTCTTTTTCTCTTGTTTTTGGCAGGTTGAAAAATTTGGTAAAGTTCGCTTTTCAAAGGAGACTCTGCCGAAATTTCGGTTGAAGCCTCGGCCCTATTTTCCTTTGTTTTAGGGGAAGAGGATGTTTGAAATTAGTAAGTGAGCCAGACATCAGTTGGATGTCAGAAAAACCACAGGATCATGGATTTCGAGGAATTCAGGGCGGGTCCTGTCATTCGGCACCAAGTGGTATAAGCATGGTATGAAATGTGCATGTCTGCTTGTCTAGTTATATGAATTAATGGAAGTAGATGAAGAGCATTCATGCATTATTATTAATAATGTGATATTTGGCTGTGTGATTGTATGTCACATAATTTAGTTATATCAATTTACCGTGAAAAGGTTTATGTCTCTACTAAGCTGTGGTTTCGCTCACCCCCTTACAGATTTTATAGGTGCTGAACCTGAAATCTAAAGCTTATGATGATTTTGGCATATCTATAGAGTGTATTGTGTACATAGCTTGTAGATGAATAATGAGCTACTCTTTTAGTGAACTCTTGAGTAGTTCTAACTTGTAAAATAATGTAAAAATAATGTAATAATGAGCTACTCTTTTAGTGAACTCTTCCGTTTTTGCGAAACATTTATTTTATTTCTTTAAATGTTTCTTCGCATTTTAGTTATAGTTTTTTTTATTAAATTCTATAATTAAGTTGTGAATCACGTCTTAACCCAAGGTTTCGTAAATTTGTAAGTTGGGGCGTGACATGAACTTCTCACCATTCATCACCGAGATTGAGCAGGCGGCCCCTCCGAGGCAATTCACTACGCCATTCAAAAGGGATTTCGATCTTGAGAGCCATTTGAAGCATTTCAAAAGTGCCATGATTCTCTACAAGGCCGAGGATAGGCTGATGTGCAAGATATTTGCAATGACCTTACGAGGAGAAGCTCAAGATTAGTTCTATACCATGCCATTAGAATCGATCATCTGCTTCAAGGAGCTAGCTTTCGTCTTCACAAAGGAGTACACTTCCTACCGGAGGATCAAGAAACAAGCCGACCACCTGTTCAACATGCGTAAGAAGCCTGATGAGTCCCTCCTAGATTACCTTAAAAGGTTCAAGGGAAAGAAAGCCAACATTGTGGGATGCGATGATCAAATCACATCCTTTGGTTTCAAAAAGGGCTTACCAGCTGAGCATGACCTATATCTAAAATGGAACGCTACGTGCTTTGGGATAACGATTGCCCAAGGAGGCATGACAGAGAAGTGATAAGCCTAGCGGTAGGAACCATGAAGGAAAGCACAAGGCACAATCCGAAGGTGCCGCACCGGCAAATGAAGGCCACACAAAGTTCACTATCTTGATACATCAAGGCCTAAGTGAACGACAAGCCCTGGCTGAGGAACCCACCACATTTGAAGGGAGATCCTGATAAGAGGAATACCAATGAGTAGTGGTGGACTTATTAAGGCACAATGAGTTGCAGCTGTACCTCCCATTGCAGGAAAATCCTCTTCAAGCGCTGCATATTCCACATCTATTGAGGTTGCATGGTGCGCTCCAACTGTTCAACAAATTGCCTCAACTAAGGCTTGTAGGCGCTAGGCTGTTGTTGTGCACAACATGTCATTTTTTTTAAAACATCCTAGCCAAAACAACGTCATTTTGGAAACAAAAAAAAAAAAAAAAAAAAAAAAAAAAAAGAAAAAGGAAACTGGACTGCGCTACGCACGTGACCTTTCTTGACTTCGTTTTGGACTGGACTGCTCACGTGAAGTCAAGAAAAAGCTAATCAACGAAAAAAGAGGGCTTTAAAACAACTTTTTCTTCTTTTTAAACAAGGATAAAAAAAAATGAAAGGAACCTCTTATATTGTACAACTCCTTATTTACGTGGAATTGGGAGGAGTTATCTTTATAAATTTGATTCGCCCTTCCAAAGAATTATGCAATAAGTCAATCAAAGAATTCAAATAATCCAAGAATGATATATTTTTTTCTTTTCAAACTCAAGAAAGAAGAGGTTGTGTGACACAAGTGTCGAGGTGCTATCAATTATGATTTGTTTATGTAATTGATTTTTGTTAGATTAATTGAGGATTTGACATTGATTTCCATATTAATTGATATACTATTGTCAATTAATCATAGTCATTGGTCATTTGTAATATATATTTTTTTTCTATGACTTATGACTTAATTGGTGAATTGCCTCAACCAAGATTGCGTGGTGCACTCTAGGCATTTGACAAATTGTCAATTATTATTATTATAAAGTTTTAGTCTTTCAAAATTGCACCTCTGCTAAAAATTCATGAGTCCGCCAATGCCAACAAGTACTGCGCTGTCCATGGAACACATGAGCATAACACAACCAACTATTGATCATGGAAGATGCACCTCGAAGAGCTCGTAGGAGAAGGCTACTACACGGAGTTTGTGGCAAAGTAGGTCATCTAGCACATCAAAGATTGTAGTGTAGCTAAGGAGCCTCCTTAAAATCTCATAAGGATTAATACAATCCTAGTCGACTCAGAGGAATCCGGTTTGATAGACGTTCGGAGTACACTGACTAGGTGCACACCTCATGGTATGGAAGACCTTCTTGAAAAACCGCGACATCAGAAATCAAAAGCCCAAAGATAAGTAGAACGGACGAAATGTGATAATCCTAGCATCTAGATCATTAGGGTCCATGCGAGCCACACATTTCGTCGAAGGCTCTGCCAACTTGACATGCACATGGCAGAAGCAAAGGTGGCGCACCACTTCTGAAACTGGGATTCGGTTGTGTACGATGCAAGTTTGCCACGAATCTCCTCTTCATCACCTTGGAGCCACCCCATAAGCACTTGGGCACTTGCGAATCAGAAGATTGGATTCCCTCGTCAGATGACATGATGATTGTGCAACTGCAAAAGGAAGAGAAATCGCAAACTAAAACCTTAAGTTGCAAAAAAAAAGGAAAAAAAAAGAAAAAAGGAAACAGCTACAGCTGCAACCGGGTAGTAGTCAACAACAGACGGCAGGTGATGACCAGAACCCATTAGCCAAGCGGGGTACTTGCTCTAGCACAGCAGGTCGTTGCCGCAACAAGAAAAAAAAAAGCTGCAGCGGTAGCCATTACCACCACCAGCCATCGCGACCTCCGCCACCGATCGGCGCCATCGCTCCAACCACTCTTTGTTGTCACGACGACAACCAGTCGTGACCTACCTTGGTGTACACGACAAGTCCTCTCATCGACAAGCAGTACACTCCTCCAAGATCTCTTTCACAAGCGAGAAAATAGAGGAAGATAAGTTTGCAATTTGAAGAGGAGTGAAAAGAAGCCTTCTATTTATAATAGTTGGGTATCCTTAACCAACAAGGAGTCACAATCCAAGGAGAAGTCATGAGCCTACTCCAACTAGGAGTCCAACTCACAAGTGGAAAGCCAAACAAAGTTGGAAAGCCCGAAGAATATTTAACATCTTATCCTTGCAACATATGCACCAAGCAGAAGCTGGGGGGCATTTGTGGGAGCATATATTTTGGAGGCCAATGAGCAATTGCATGTGGAAAAGGGAAATTCCTTAAGTCAATCAATTATCCTAATTAAATCCTATTTAATTATGGGAATTATAATTTATTTAAGATAGGAATATTTCCTTAAATCAAGGTTGTGATTTCCCCTGAATCTCCTTGATTAATTCCAATATCCTATTTTTGGGTAAGAATAATCCTAATTAAATAAGGATTACTCTTCAAACCCTAGCTGACAAGGAGCACTATAAATACATGGCTACATCACACATATGAGGTAATCTTAAATCCGATTTTTACTTGAGAAAGACCTTTATCTCTCTCTCTCTCTCTCTCTCTCTCTCTCTCTCTCTCTCTCTCTCTCATGGCTCCAGCCACCACCACACACTGCTTTGGCCATCCGGTTCTCTTGTACCATAGAGAAAACTTCAATTGCTTTAGTTATTGTCGTATCTTTTTCCAGGTCCAATTGAACTAACTTAGACATCAGAGGGCCTTTGGCCAACACCTCCTCGGTATGTATTTACTCGATCCTTTTTCGCAGGGGTCGAGGGAAAACAAAGAGAAGGAAGTTTGAGAGTCAAAGAATCTACATGCAAATATTCCTCATGATGAATTTTGCTCAAACAAGAGTGTCCCATTGTGTCATGTGTGTGTATGTGAAATTGGACCTATAAAAAAAAGAGGAAAAATATAGTTCACTCTTTAAATCAGAAAAGAATGGCATATTGTTGTTTAGGAAAAACACAGTTTATGAACCCCTTTTGCTAAAATTCCAATTATACTATATGAATTTGCATTGAACATAATGGTCTAATATAAGAGAGTTATTTACATTAACAGTTCCCTGAGATTTTTGGTGTTTTCAGATTACCCACTAAGCTTCCAAAAATTATATGAATACCCCCAAAGGTTTCAAATTGTTTTCACAAAACTCATTTTCAAATTATTTCAAATTGTTTTCAAAAAACCCTTTTTTACTGAACCCTTTTCATTTATTGTTCATCCAAAAAATGATGATTTTATAAAAAAGAAAACTTATGCAAATGAAAAAAATTAACGTCAATGAAGGTATTTGCAATCTAATCTTAAAGACTAACTTTATCATTTGAAGAAATTATTTATATAAAATCATCAATCTTTGGACAAAAAATAAATGGAAAGGGGTTTTATGAAACATTTTAAACCTCAGGGGATGTTCATATAATTTTTGAAACCTTAAGGGTTTTCTGAAAACAGCGAAAACGTTAGGGGGTGTTAATGTAAATAACTCAATATAAGAAGAGTTAAAAATTAGTTAAAAATAATTTAAACAATAAAATAAAATAAAATTCTCTCACATTGTTCTAACATAGCTTACTCTTCCCCTTTGAAAAAATAAAAATAAAAATAAAAAATCTTCCTAGTTTTATTTTTCCTCACCTAAAAATAACGACCATCTCGCACACATAGCATACGTGTGATTTCTAGTTCTAGTTAAAGGAAATAAATATGCCTAGGATATTTTACCAAATTGTAGTTTTCTATTAGCACTCAAAATTTAACTTCACACATTCAACACGCACTCAAGATTTGGACATTTTACCCACCTAGTTATAGGGCTTGTAGCTCAAGTGGTTAAGAGTAGGTAGCCTTGCACTTTGAGAACATGTGTTCGAATCCCCCCTCCCCCAATATCACTTGTATATATATATATATATATATATATATATATATATATAATCTTTTACTTTTATTTTCAAGCAATATGCGGCAATTTTTTAGTGAAAGTGTCATCAACAAACATGGTAATACTGTACCACACATTAATTTATCTAACACTTCCATTACGCATAGATGACACTAGGGGTGGGCTCAGTGTGGTTTGGTTCAGTGTTGAGCCAAAATCGTCCACAGAACCGAAGACCTCCGTGGGGTGATTTCCAGCACCAACACCATTAAAAATGAAGGCCCTCGATTAATTGGAACCAACGGTTCGATGTGGTTTGATTTCGGTGTCACACCCAGCGAAGTGGCTTCTATGGCCTCCAGATTTGCGTGCGGGTGCAATGGTGGTAAAGGAGAAAAGTGGTGGTGGCGATCAATTTGGTTTGGCCGATTGCTCGTATTTCGGTCTGATTGCCCACCCTAGACGACATTAAACAAATGATAGATTAATTAAAAAATGTTTTCTCATTTGTCTCAAAACCGTCGTGTACATGCTTTAAAAATTGTTACTCAAAATCATTGTCACTCAATTGAATAGGGTCGATTAATAGCTGAGCTAGGAATAGCTTGGTGGCTGTCACGACGTCACTAATGGACCTAATTTTGGTTCATAAATGCAACCTATCACCAATTATCTATACAAAATATAAAAGTCTAGTTAAGGTTCCAATATCATGGGTGTGGATGGTGGGTAGGTTTTTCGACCAAACTATATTTTTTCAGCTCCTGCCTTAAGGAGTGAAGATAGAGTTAAAGACGAGGAAACAAAATTGAAGTGGAAATTTCAAAACTTTTTCCACAAGTCAAGTTTCTTTTGGGTGATAGAAAGTGTTTGAAATATTTAATAATTATATTTATAATATTCATATGAAAATCAATTAGATAAATCAATACCCAAAACACATCAATTATACATAATAATTAATACAGTAAATACATAGGAAAAGGGTTAGGAACATCTGGCATGTGATATCAAGAAAGGCACGTAGCCGTTGTCCTAAAACCATAAACGCCTCCCCACATGCAGGTTATAAAGGTCATCTACAACTCCAAGATAAAACCCTTGAAACTCATAGGACGTTTGATCCGTTAAGCACGATCATAGACAGGGTGCCAAGGGTTTATCGGACTGCCCATTAGATTGATAAGAGAAAGAAAGGACTATAGGAAAACATAGTACTGGAAGACATGAAGAGAAGGAATAGAACGTACACTGGTTTGTCAGGAGTTCCTATTTTATAGAACTCTATATACCTATTCAGTAAGAGATATGCCTTTAAACTTAACCCTTTATTTAAAAGGTTATGACTATAAATTTAAAACCTAATAAGTTTTGAATCTTAATAAATAAATAATTATAAATAAGATAAATATCCAACAATCCCCCACAAGATTCAAAACTTCATAGGATTATAAGAAAGAAGATTTGGGCAACTTTTATACCGTGCAATGAGTGTAGGTGTCTTCCAGACTTGAGCCTATACTTAATGTAAACAACTTTCATATGAAGAAATCATAGTGAACTATGTCTTGAACTAGACCCTTTTTGGCCAAATTAATTGCAACACACATGGTATCGATACATAAACTTGGCACAAGTTACCGCTATTATGGCCATGCACTTATCTTGATTCTCATGAGAAGTACTAGAGAAAAACCCAATCATCAAAGTCACGGCCTCATGACCACTCTCACTTAGGTGAGTTCTTCAAGAGTACATGTGACCTGCACCATGAAGGAGTATGACCGCCTCGAAACTCATTTAGGTTTAATAATGTTAGATATATGCCCTACAACCCAATATAAAAATGGAATATTCTAAGGATATAAAATAATCAATATAATCAAAGGGACATGAATGTTACTCTAAGATACATAATCTACATAAAGTAACAAGACCATGGATAAAGATATGAAAGAAAAGCAGTCTAAAGAAGTTAGATTCACGAGACCTCTCCATCATACAAGTATCGTATCCTAAAAGGTTCCTAGTCATAGGATCACCAATTGGACAATGGTGAGACGTGAAGACTGGTGCATGCTATGTTTGCTAAATCATGAGGATGACTAATCTCAAGTCATTTGTGTAGAGACACTAAGACAAGTGTGTAGATGGAGTTCACTGAACGCAATCAACTCAAGAATTCTTGTATGTAAGTCTTACTCACAAGTGTCAAATAAGGAATTGTAAATAATGATAATGCAAATTAATCCTTAGACCTGAGACATCATAGTTGTCTTGTGCATGAGCTGTTTATTTTTTAGGACACTATACAGTGGTATCAAGAGGATGTGACTTAAAGGTGTTCCTCAGGACACTCAACATATGCACAAAGGTAAGTGAATACTTTAAAGATATGGTTCATTGAATCTTTGGCCAAAGTACAGGATAAGAATTGAAACAAGAACGTAAGCAATTATAACAAAGTGAATCATATAACCTAAAGATGTCATGTTATGGAATTGACACAAGTTAACCATATCCCAAGATACATGACAGAGAGTATTGCAATAGATAAGGATCAAATTGCATTTGTAATCACAAATTGACTAGGTTCTCAAAATGAATTCTATTTAGTTTGGGTAGCCATGACATACTGCTAGTTGTCACTCATGGTTTGTGGAAGCCCTGTGTGGACTAATAACAATTAGCCTTTGCCAATAGAG